TAGATTTGTGGCTAACTATAACATAACAATAAATCTAACACTAGTCGATAGCTATAGTAGCTTTTTAGCTAGCAATGTTGTTATGATATATTGATAGCTAAAGATAATAGCTTCATCGCAAGCTACTATATAACGACAACTCTATAGCTACTATGTGACTATAAGTTACTACATAACGACAACTTTAGGGTAGAAGTGGAATGCGGGAGAAGTGGGACAGCCTGAAATTTCTAATTAGGAGTGGTGCCCAAATACTGTTATTTAATGTAATAAATTAAATTTCTTCTTCTCTATTTAGCAGAAATTGTTTCCCTGCGTGCGCTAGAAGCCCTAATTTTGAAATTTACCTTAAAAAAGAGTTAACAGAGAGTTAAAGAGTTATTGAGGTTGGACAGAAAAAAGAAATATTTATGCCCCGCTTCTTTCCGTCGCCATTTGATTATTTTGAGTGGTGAAAGATCTTGAACATTTTTATATAGATTTGGTGATTTTATGATTTAGTCAGTTTTAATCTGATTTAAATATTTTTATTTATTTAACAATTTGTGTTAAAATGTTTTAAATTTATATGTCCCACTTCTAGTCATACTTGTCCCACTTTACTCCAATTTCTTACCCCAATTTCTCTAGAAGCAAAAACTCATATAAATAGTTTTAATTGGCTGAAAACCTAAGGGGATTGAATCGGTGCCTAAAAAGAAGGTTTATTTGTAAAAACTTGTTTCGTTCAGTTGAAACATCAAATAAAAAAGATATTGCAATTATCCTAAAACAAAAATTTACGTGTCCCACTTCACCCCACTCTCCCCTATAGCTACTAAGTGACTATAAGCTACTTCTTAACGATAACTCTATAGCTACTACATGACTATAACCACCGACCGTTATAGCGATGTGTATATGCCTATCGAGTGTTTTTTGTTAATAGTTTTAAAATAAAATTTTGACAGCTACATATCGTAGCTTTGTAGCTTGTTAAAACATATATATCTATTTGTAGCCAATATCGCTAGCTAAAAAGCTATGGTAAAAACACCACAAACTTTCAGATGATTTCTTGGTAAAATTAATAAAATCAATTGTGTGTGTGTTTTTTTTGATTGCTGTGGATACCTCTTTAGATAGTAATATAATAATAGAGAACGCCGTTTTCTAATTTAAAATAAAGTTGTTAATTTTTATCGAAGACCTGCTTCTTAAAATGTAAATTCTTGACGAAGTTAATTTTACTACAATAACTATAAACTTTTACTGTTAACTAATCCATCAAGGCTATAATATTACTAAGACCATTTTGTAATTAAGTTTATTTCTTTAAATTAATTTTTAATTTTCGCAATACAAAAAAGTGCAACAATGAATTATTTACGCTGTTTGATAATACTTTTTACTAGACTGTAGTGTAGATGTTTATATGTAATTGAACAAAAAATTACTGTTCAGTAGACAAACAAATAAATTTCAGTTCTTTTGTTAAATTTTCAACTAGAGTATTAATATCTAACTGTCATTTTTTATTATACATAAGTTAATGTACACTGCACAACTTTTTCCAAAAAGTCACAAAGTGTTTAAAGGTTTAGGATGATGTTTTATTAAAGATAAGTAATGAAAAATATATTCCCTTTGTCACAATTTAAGTTTTTAAATTAAATCTCTTCAGAGTTTGTAAATTCACTTAGAATGCGTAAGTCAGTTCTATAAAACATCAGTACAAATTTTCTTATTGCAAAAACTCTAATGCTTAGCTTTTTATAATCAACAAGTTTGTATTAAGATACAACAACGAGCTTACAACAACCCCTGGCCAGCCTAAGAATTACATTTAGCATAAAGTATTTTCACCAGTAGTACAACTGCATATAAATTTTGTATGGAGTATGCATCAGTATGACCAGCGACAAAACCTTTTAATAGAAACATAATTATATAAACTTTTTTCACATTTACAACAACACATTCATTATTTTGTATAATTATATTTAAGTTAACAACAGATAAAATCTCATCGCCTGATTAGGGTTTTAAGATATGCGTCCTAATGTGCGCAATAAAAATTGTCTTATGCTGCTTAAATCTTGCTTAAATTCCACAAAGTTTCTGTAATAATTTTATATTTTGTCATTGAACTTACTTTTTACATCGGAGAACATATTACTTAACTGAAAATATAAAATAACACTTTTTTTCTGTAAATCTTTACGTTTAAGAATAAAAAAAAATTTGGAAAAATCAGAAATCATAAAATGTTTGAACTACCTAACTGTCTTCGTAAAAAAAAATCCTGCGGCGTTTACATCGAAAGTATTTCTTTTTTATAGTCCTTTACTACCCTTGTCCTTAACTGCATAATTTTCCAAAAAAAAATTTTCGTTGTATTACAAAAAAAATCATGTGTTAACATATAGACACCCGAGTTAAACCGTAGTAAAAATGTTTATTTTATTTTAAAAAATGACGGGAAGCTGGGTTCGTTAAAGACTTAAACTCGCAAATTTTTATTCGAGACCGTATGGCACGAAAAAATTTCCGCAATGCTGTAAAAAATGCTCAAAACAAAAACCTGTACAAAGAATACATTAAAATCGAAACGTTAAAAAATGCAAATCCAAAATATTTTTGGAAAACTTTCAGAAATATAAAAAAAGATGCAAACTCGAAATTGTGCACCATAAATAATAAAATAATATTGAAAATCGATTAAACTCTAAAGCAATCGCCTTCAATTAAACAAATCCAAGGAGCCTTCGGAATATCAGCTGAACATTTAAAGAATTTGAACTGTGAAGCACTAACAGAATGGCTCAGAAAATTCTTTAACTTTTCTATTAATCATGGACAGACCCTAAAATTGATGTCTTCATCACTTATAATACCACTCGCTAAATCGTATAAAAAATCCTTAACTGATCCAAATAACTACCGCGGCATTAGCATCATTCCAACCTTTACAAACCTAATAGAATATCTTATTCTACTAATCTGCACAGAAATAAAAGAAACTCATACCCTTCAATTCGGTTTCACTAAAAATAGCTCAACGCTACACGCTAAATTTTTTATTAGTGAAACAATTAAACACTACAACAACAACAACTCGCTTGTCTATCTCTGTTCCCTATATGCTGAAAAAGCGTTTGATAGCTGCAACTATTACATTCTGTTTGAGAGACTGTACAATGATAAAAAAACTCCCTCTGTATATTGTTATTACCATATTGTCATTATGCTATGAAAACTTGTTTCTTATCTAGATTGCAAATCATATCCTTTCTATCTAACGCAAGGAGTGAGACAGGGATCTATTCTCTCGTCTCATTTGTATAACATTTATACTCAAAACTTACTATAGTTGGTTTTGAGTATTAATTCGTTTTGTAAAGTTTCTATAGAAACCTTACAAAACGAAAGCGTCGTAGGTACATCAATCAATCAATGGAAACTATACGGGTATTGTAGCATATGCTGATGACATTATACTCTTTAGCTCCAACCTTACTGGCCTACAAAAGCTTAATCATATATGTAATAGGTACACACACAAAAACTGCATAAAATTGAATGCTAACAAAACCGAGTTCCTGCTCACCGGAAAAAACTAATATAAAAAATGCGCAATAACTCTCAACAACCAACAAATAAAACTTCATGATAAACTTAGTCATCTAGGCTATACATGTGATACAAAAAGTTCCCCTTTTGCCTCACTTAATAAATCAAACATTGAACACCGAATATCTAATTTCTGGACGGTAATCCAAACCTTAATTCAATCAGGAATCCGTTTTGCTCACTCAAACTCAATTGTCCAGTTATATAAAACTTTAGCTGTTCCAACACTAACGTATGGTCTTGAGCTGTGTGATTATAAAAAAATGTTAATGCAAAAGCTTGATATAGTTGGAAGAAACACACTTAAGTCACTCCTCAACGTTTCAAAACATAGCAAAAATTATATTCATATCTTATATTTTATTGAAGATATTAATTATTATTCAACAAAACAAGCTAAACTTATTTATTCGCCTGATGAACAATAAAATGACATATGATATTATTAAGTCGCAGCTGAAAAACAAAACAGCCCCACGACCTTTTTTAGATAGTATCAAAGGCTTGTGCAATAATCATGAACTAAATCTGGAGACAATAATGCAAATTAAAAAAAAAAAAAATATCGGTCTCAAAAATTTAATTCCTGATACGGATCTTCAAACTCTAAAATGTGCAATTGAGTGCTGGAACTCCTAGATGATCATCTTGACAAAAAAAAAAAAAAAAAAAAAAGATTTTTTATATTTATCTTATATGAAACTCTTAATTTACCTTACTTGTATAGTGGGTGTTTAATAAAATCTAAGTAGATAAATATAAATATTTACTTATCCAAATTTTTTAATAACTTACATAATGTTCTCCATAACCAAAGTATCTTTTAAATAATATACACGACGTTCTCCATAAGCGAAGTTATAAATTGATTTTGTTAAGTTTATGATTGAAAACTTCAAGGAATAATGTATAGCTTATTACAAGAAAGTCAAATATTATACTAATTAATGTTAGAAGATTTCATAGATATATGATTTACCAATCTAATGAAACAGTTTTCCAAATTTCAAGGATTTTTATTTCCACCATTTTGAATAAGTAACCATGGCAATAGCCGATCTTCTTTTTTTAACACAAATACATTTTATTTCAATACCGTTACATTTTTTAATATATATCCTTTTGCTATAAATATCATACAAATCCTTGATATCATTATAAAAATTTTAAAGGGGGTGAACCTCCCTAAATTAACTTTTACAATTCAATACAAACTCGTAATTTACAAATAATCGTTCTCATTTTATCTTAGAGGTGGGTGTATTTAACCCAACGCCACCCTTTTGTATTTTTAAACATCTAAGTGACAAATTAAACCGTTTAAAGAAATTACGCATTTCAAAAAAATCCTTTTACATAGACGGGCATATTCGTCAACATACGTCCATTAATAAAAAGTTGTCTTTAACATATTTTGAATATAAAATATAAACGAGTATCAGTAGTCATTTACATTTTATTGCCTTTTATTTTATTTTTACAATAAAATAAAACACAGCATTCGACAGGTTTAAGGAAAATTTCCAGCCACCCCGTTCCCATACTCTGTCTACTTACGTCGAACATTTTCACGCTGACTTGCAATTGCAAGCCACGTTAAAAGACAAAACTAACAGTAAAAAGTATTGAATTACTAGATATGGATTTAGTTGATTATTTTTACGATTTATTCTGGTCAGAAAATATATGGCTTCCAAAGCAATACAAATGGAATGATATAGAATCTTCTGATAAATTGAAAAAAGCAAAAGTTAAAGATCTGTATATGGTACCTGTACTTTTTTTGTGTATATCCTTAGCACGTTATATTTTTGAAAAGTTTGCTGCTTCTAAGTTTTGCCTTTATCTTGGGATAGAATCACCGATTAGATCACGAAATTTTGAAGATCAAAAGTTAACTATCAAAGGTAGAGTATATTCACAAGTTGCTCTATCAACTAGAGAAGCTTTATTAAAAAAATCGACTGAATCATGTTGGCGTGCATTCAGCTATTTTATTCTATTTGGTTGGGGTGTTATGGTGGTAAGTGAGTCAAACTGGTTTTGGGACAATTCTACATGGCTCACTGATTACAAATATCATGAGCTTACACTGTTAATGAAGTGGTATTTTTTTTTAGAAATATCTTTTTATTTATCTCTATCAGTATCCCAGTTTACAGATACAAAGCGCAAGGACTTTTATCAAATGCTCATTCATCACTTTGTTACTTTGTTTTTATTAATTGGCTCATACATTACTTCAATGTATAGATTCGCTGTGGTGATCATGTTCATTCACGATGCATCAGACTTTTGGCTTGAAACAGCTAAAATTGCAAAATATGCTAAATGTGATAAAGTTTGTAATGTTTGTTTTGGTATATTTGCAATTGTATTTGTTTTTACTCGCTTAATTTATTACCCAATTTGGGTTAGTTATGGGTATTTTGTTTATAATACTTATGACACAAGCATTATACAGAAGGGTATGGTATCAATGTGTTTCTTAATTTTGTTTTTGAATTTTTACTGGGGTTACTTAGTTGTAAGTATGTTGTACAGAATAACTGTTTCTGGTAAAAAGACTAAAGATTCAAGAAGCGATAATAGTGATTCTGATGAATGATCTCAGTGAAAAATGTTTTCAAAAAAAGCAACTTGTGGTTATTTAAATCTTTTAATATTATCAAAAATTGAATCTTCGTAATTTTTTAAGGTAATGCAAACATCTGATAATGTACAAAGTTAAACGAATCTTTTGAAGCAGTTAAGTTTCTAAAGCAATGTAGCACAATTACTTATATTTTTTTTAGATTTAATGTTGCTAGTTCAATTTCTTTTGTGTATGTCATTAGTATTTCAAATTTTAGTTAACAACATATAACATTTTTTCTATAGAAAAAACCATTTCATTATTCGTTATAGAGTAAAAAAAGTCTTGGTTGCAAATCTTGTTTTGTTATCTTTTATTTTCAAAGTTGTTGCGTTGAAATTATTTTTTATTCTTTTATAAATACATTTATAATCATTTTATACTATTAATCTAGATGACAAAGCTGAAATATAATAATATATTTTGATTAGTAATATATTTTGTTATTAAATTTATTTAAATTAAAATGAGAAATTTGTTCTCAGTTCTACTACTAAGTTGGTGCACAAGTTTTATAAGGAAAAACATTTTAAAATAGTTTTTAATGCTTGAAAAGTGTTTTGAAACACTTACTCTGGCCAATCAAAATAAGAAGTCAGCATAAATTGTATGAAAAAATAGAATTATGATAAATTATGGTTGCTATAAAAAATTTTGCCTTATAGAATTTGTGTCAATTAGGTGGTCTAATTTTATACTTTGTACCCATGCACACATTAACTTTGTTGTATACTTGTAAAACAAAACTTATACAAAATAAAAATTTCACCATAAAATAAGTTTTATATTCATATGATTTTATTCTCTATTATGTAAGTTTTTTCCAGCTTTTTGCACAAAAAACCTTTTGATTATAAAAAAACTTATCTTTTAATTTATAAAAATGATGTATAAATAATATTTTGTAATATTTTTTTAAATAAATGACATTACTAGTAGATTTCTTTGTTTAGAAAAAAAATATAAAAGATATATGTTTAGATAAAAATCGGTTTAAAATTTAAAAAAAATTACTTAAGTTGTTTTTATAACTTCATAAATACTTCCTTGGTGTGAGATTTTGAAAATTAAAATAATGAAAATAATAATTTGAAAAATAAAAAAGTAAAAAAGAGGTTAACAAGCTTGATAAATAAAAAAAAATAAATAATAAGTATTAATATTAGTCAATGATTTCAAACAGTGAGCTGAAAAAAGAGTAATTTTTATGTAAATTAAAATTTACTGTTGTGTTTTTTTATTTTTAAAGCATATATATATATATATATATATATATATATATATATATATATATATATATATATATATATATATATATATATATATACGCATACAAGTTTTATAAATATATAATTTTCTCTGTCTTTTTTAAAGTGAAAAAATTTTCATTTGAATCTTTGTATTTAATTTAGTTCTGATCTTAATCTAGTTTAGGAAAAAAGAACATTTAGCTACGTACGCATTATTTATTACAAAAATCACTTTATTATCTTTATTATTTATTACAAAATCACCTCCTTTCCCCAACCTAAAAATTAAAAAATATTTAGTTGTTTCAACATTTTTTGTTACATATCTTAATACTGATTTTTGAAACTCGCGATGTTCAATGATTTTGTTTTAAAAATTAAAGTTTTAAGGTAAAAGGGATGCAAATACACCATTTCTAAAATATGTCATAGCAACATTTTTTATTTTATTAAAACTGTTAATAATACATTTAATAATACATTTAGAGAAATATTTTCCATAAAAAATATTTTTTATTTTTTAAACAGAAAATCCATAATGGCGGAAAATGTGTTGATTTTTACCCTTACAAATGATGTTTTTAAAATATGATATCTTGATAAAACAAAAATTGAAAATCCTTTAGCGCATATGTATATTGTTGTATTATACTCCGGATTACCCTTAGGGTTTGCATAAAACATTTTACCCAAAAAGTAATAAAAGTTTTTGTAAAAATGCTACTTTTTTTTAACAAATGCAAATAGAAATTTGCACCTAAACTAAGTTTTTTATTAGATATTAAAAGTTTCATGTAAAATCCAAAGGTCATTCGGAGTATTAGATTATATGAAACACAAATTCAAAATTTCAAGTCAAATGTTCAAATCTCGAGTTATCATGTTTTGAGTTATGGCAAGTATGCAAAAAATTAAAAACAGAAAAATGCAAAACAAAAATAAAATCTTTGAAAAATAAGTTATCTCCTCAGTAAGAACCAGTTTGATATAAATCTACTCATTCTTTTTCCCTCATTTTAATTAAAAAAATCCTTTTAATCTGGCTCGCAATAATTTTCTACGCTTTTACTCTGCATTCGTGAACTTTTTATCCATAGATAATGCATGAATTATCCAACTTTTTTTTCACAGCCTTTGAAAATTTCTCTTTTTTCAAGCCAAAGTGTTCTAAAACCTTCAGTATTCCTTTCCGCCCATCATTAAAATGAATAATAGCTGAATGTATACCCATTTCTATGGCTTACCTGCCAACAAATACAGTTTTCGGTTAACTTTTGTTAATAATACAAAGTTTAAAACTTTCAACAGTACTGTTACAACTTATCAGCTTATCTGTCTGAGTTATGATTGTGACTTCAAAGTATAATATTTAGACCGCTAAAGACATATATCAGATACACCTTAGTAAATTAGAGTAAAATAAGGCATATAATATATTATATGCCTTATTTTACTCTAATTTTTCTCTCATATTAATATGAGAAAAAAATAAAGAATAAACTTCTGTTCATGGTAACTAGGGACGTTACAATGGACTCTGATGCTAACTAAGGGTGTTTTAAGGTGTAAACATGGACCAAGAAATACTTTTATTGTTTCCAATGAAAATAGACATATCAAAGGATGAAATTCCTAATTAAAAAAATTTGTCAAACATTTTTTTTCCATCATTTATTTGCATCCCTATCACCTTAAGAGAGACAGAGAACGAAAGATAGTCAAATCTATACTCGCCTTCTTTAACCTCTACCGTGTACGCATTTCTACGTTTTTAGGTTTACCTCCATCCCCCATACTTGCATACGCACTTTATGAAAAACCATTTAAGCTATAAAGTAATTAAACAAGATAAAGTAGATAAAATATGTTGCATCTAAGTACTTTAGCTATAAATTTTAAAAAACTTAACTCGAATACATGTGAATTCAAAAAGCAGTAAAATTAAAAACATAAAAATTCTACAAAAAATTCTATAAAAATTAAAAGCATAAAAATTTTACAAGTACTACAAAAACGAAAAAATTTACAAGGACTACAAAAACCTATTTGAAAAAATTCGCAAAAATCTAAAAAAAATTTATTACTCCCAATTACTCAATACATTTAAAAAAGACACAAAACGCACATGGCAAATAATGAATGAAATTATTGGAAAACAAAAATCATGCTCAGGTTTTCTGCCACAAATGGTTAGAGTCGATAACAAAAGTTTATACGAACCAAGAACTATAGCTCAAGAATTTAACAAATTTTTTATCGATATAGGTCCAACACTTTCTAAAAAAATCCCAAACACCAAATCTTTATTTACTGATTTTCTAGTACCCATTGATAATTGCATTGGTTCAGTTGAGTTGTCTTCTGAATTGTTGTTTGAAGAGTTTGAAAGAGCCTTCAAATCTTTAAAAAAAAATAAAGCAATTGGAGCAGATCAAATAAATGGAAACGTTATTATAGATTGTTTTGAACAGCTAAAAGTTGTTCTTTTTAAAGTTTTTAAAGCTTCTATCCATCAAGGTGAACATGCAGTTATCCAATTTGTACGGGAAATCTCAAAATCATTTGAAAAATCACAATATACTCTAGGACTTTTTATTGATCTATCAAAAGCTTTTGATACGGTTGACCACCAAATTCTAATCCATAAACTTAAACACTATGGAATAAAAAATAAAGTTTTAAAATGGTTTGAAAGCTATTTGTCAAATCGTAAACAATTTGTTCCAAGTAATGACGGTTATCACACCAATTGTCTTTCTATAACATGTGGAGTCCCACAAGGCTCAATTCTTGGTCCACTCCTTTTCCTAATTTATATTAATGATTTAAATAAAGCCTCTAAACTAATAAGTATTATGTTTGCAGATGATACTAACTTATTTCTTTCTAACAGTGAAATCTTTGAACTTTTTAAAACAATGAACAAAGATCTTATACATGTATCGAGTTGGTTTAAATGTAATAAGTTAACTCTAAATTCTAATAAAACAAAGTGGACTTTATTCCATTCGCTTTCCAAAAAACGATATTTGCCATTAAACTTACCTAAAATTTTTATTGATCAAAATGAAATAAAAAGGGATTCCGTAACAAAATTTTTAGGTGTTTACCTTGATAAAAACATCACTTGGAATCATCATATCGACTACATAAGCACTAAAATTTCAAAAAACATAGGAATCTACCTCAGCACGAATCTACCTCAATAAGAAAATTTTAATTAAACTTTATTATTCATTTATACACAGTTATTTAAATTATGCTAATATCGCCTGGGGTAGTACAGAAAAAAGTAAGTTGCAACGTCTTTATCGCCGTCAGAAACATGCTATCCGTTTAATCTGCTTTGCAAATCGCTTTTCTCACGCAAAACATTATTTTATTGAAATGAGAATTTTAAATATATACGAGCTAAATATATATAATGTTTTATGCTTTGTATACATGTGGAAAAATGACTTGTCTCAATCTGTCTTCAAAGATATTTTTACTCCGAAGCCCATCAACAAATACAATTTGAGAAATACTGATTTTTTAAATGAACCTTTCTGTCAAACGAACTTTAATCAATTTTGTATTGTCTATCGGGCACCACACCTTTGGAATAAAATTGTTTTGCCCAATTTTGATTTCGAACTACCCATTACTTTTCGTTTTTTTAAAAGTAAATTAAAAACCCTAATTTTTTCATTATAAGAAGTATTATGTTATTATTAATAATATAAATTAATAACTTTGCCTTTTCTTATTTATATTTGTAATAGTTTATTCTTACTTATTTTGTTGATTTTATATTCTTTACTTCACGTATACGTTTATATAAAATATTAGTGAGTAGATCCGCGTGATCTCTCTTTGGATTATAAAATATATATTTGGATTATATATATATGAAATTTGTAAAAATTTGATACTGTTAATGCTTGTTTGAACTTATTTAAGGTTCTGACGACAAGATCCTTTGATCTTCTTTCAGATACCTTATTTTATATTTGTGAAAGTTTATTATTATCATCATTATTTTTATTTTATTTTTTTTGGCAATATATAGTTGTAATACGACCAACAAATGTAAAATTAAAAAAAAAAAAAAAATTTACGATATTAACTTAGTTTTTTTCAACCATAATATAGCACATGTTGCTTTTCTTTTAATTGGTCATACAAAATTTTTACTGGTACCAAAATTTTTTTGTAAATTGTAAGGATGTATTGTTAATATCGATGCAAGTATAATAAACTGTTCTTTTTCTGATCCAGGATAATAGTTACTCCATTTTATTATTATAGGGTTATTACTCCATTTATTACTAATTTTTTTTTTTTTTTTCATTTCTTGGGGTAGAGCTAAAATCACTTTCATCACAGTTAAGTATTTGAGCAAGTCTATTTATAATGTCACATTTTTCTAAGATATTGTTTTTTTTTCCAATATAAATCAAAAAATACAGATAAAAGCAAAACAAGATCTTTTTTTTTCCAGCATTCACAGACAATCGGTTTGATCGCTCTTTACCAATTTTTTAGCATTTTATTCCTAGAAAATGTCTTGCAATTGTATTTCATGGAATACCGTATGCTTTTGATGCAGCATACAAAGACATTTCTTTATTTTTAACTTTATCAATAACATTTTGCAACAAATCAGAGGCATGTCTTTTTTTCGGGATTCTATTTTTTAAATGTAGCCTCTTCGCATTATTTCAATATATTTTATTTCTAAAAGAAATTTAAAAAAATTACTAAAACAAATATTTATTTTAAAAGTAAACAATTTAGCTAAATAATTATGATGTATATACAGTTCTTCAAAGGATGTTTAATGAAAAAAATATTTTTGGACACATTTTTTTAATATTATATTTTGATCTAATTTTTTTTTTGATTAATTTTATACCAAAATGATTATTTTTTGAACTTTTATTTTTTAATAAGCTTGAAAATAATTTAAGCAATCGTTAAAAAGTAACGTTATTTAAAAGCAATCGCTAAAAACGTGACGTTATATTTTTGAAAGCCACTCTATAAATGAAAATCCTTTAACAATTATAGCCAAAAATTTTTATTTTATTTTAAAAATTTTTAAATATCGCGTTTATAAAAAAAAACTGTTCTTTACTGTTATAAACATATTTTTATTACATTATTACGACATGTACAAAAAACCAAAACATAATTTAGAATAATTAAGTAAAAGCCATTATTTTCTTTGTTTTTTTCTTCTTCTTTGACTTATCTATAGCATCTTCAAAGAAAGAAATGTTCTTTTTAAGTTCTATCTGATTTAGTAAAAATCGCAGACCAGCGCGATTGAAGCCGACCTCATCCTAAAATAACAAAAAAAAATTAATTTAAATATAAATTATCGATATTTTTTTACATTAAATAAAAAAAACTTTAAAAAAATAAAATTTTACGTATTTTACTATAAGATTATTACAAACACATTAACATGAGGACTAGGACACTTGTAACAAACCCACCCATATCTCTGTAATAATAAAAAACGCACTACAATACTTATCGCATGTATAGTCCTCAACTAATATGCATTTTACATAATACAGTTATACATAATACACAATCGAATAAAATCTAAAAAACTATTAAATATAAAATTATAAACAATTAAAACACGAGCAACAGTAAAATTACTGAAACCATTGCAATCAGAATGTAATCATCTCAAAACCTGTTTATGGAAGTTAGGGTTAGGGTTAGGGTTATTGAGATGATTACATTCTGATTTCTCATATCATAAAACAAAAAAAAACAAACAAAAAAAAAATTGTTTTTATAATTTAACAATAATTATTATCATTTATCAAAATGGTTTTAAGTCAGCTATTGTAATCAAGAAAATTATTTGCGATATTTTTTTTTAAGGAAATTAAAAAAAAAAAAAAGAATTCTCTTTAAACAAACAAAAAATAATAATTTTCTTTATTCTTATGATACTTTGAAATATATCAATACACCATTAAGCTTCGCGAGCACACTCAGCGTAATTAAGGAGATCCGAAGAAAAATATGGCGTTTAGGCCCTTTCGCTTTCAAAAAATGTCGGTCTATTTTGTGCGCGTTTTGATTTTTTTATTTTTTTTAAAAAATTACGTAGCACGTTGTTTTATTTTGTTTACAAATATTCAGTGATTTTATATCTACGAGTTTGAAGTTTTAGCTTGATACTATGAGACAGAGGTTATACAAAAGCTGAAACGTTTTTGTTTAGTAATTTATTCAAACGACTATAAAGAGATTATGGGAGTAAATTGCTATGAGTGAAAACTTTGATTTTAACGTTTTTACTGTTTACGGAAAGATAAAATAAGAGGTCATTTATTGAATATTTTAATGCCGTAAACAAAAAGTCCTTTTTACTTTCGAATAAAAGAGACATTTTTGGAATGTAAACACTTAACACATTTGTTTCAGCTGCTTTTATGACGCTGCCCCGTCGCGTTTTATGTATTTTAATGGTACTTTTGTTTTGCTTGATACTTTGGTTAAAAAAAGATTTATAAAAAAATAATAAATTATACAAGAAAAGCTTAAATTCTACTTTTTAAAAATTGTAATAGTAATAGTAAAAATCGAAGTTTAAAACTGTAAATTTTTGTATTTAAGAAATGCAAAACGTTTGGATCTCACCTTAACTACCTTAACTAAAAGGGAAAAATTAAAGAACCATCGCATTTAATCATAAATTAAATAAATAATTTTTTTTTTTTTTTTTTTTTTAAAAAATCTGAATTATGCGATTTAAAGTTATTTTTACGCGCAACAACCAGCAAAACGTACGCGTATCTAAAAATCACGCGTGTTAGAAATTTTACACGCGCAAGCAGATTTTTTTAAAAATTTTACTTCTTGAATCAAGTAATAGTTTGCATAATCCATTTTTAAAACTCTCTCCAACTTGTAATCAGGCGTGATCACTTGGTACACCACCACCCAAATTTATGCCATCATTTTTACCGGGCCCCTTTCCTTTTGATTAAAAAAAAAAATGAATGAAAAAATTATCTTTAATAAAAAAAAAATCAGTCAACTCAACAAATAGTTGATCTGAGGATTACTATTGTAACTTTTTTAAATTTAAATTCATAGAAAAATTTAATTTTTAATGACACATTTAACAATAATTAAAAATTTTCACAAAAAATGATTCACTGTTAAATGATTTAATCTTGAATTTCTAAACTCTTTGTTACTTTGTTCTTTGCTAAGAGTCTTTAGTGATTCTTTTGAATAAACTCCAAGGAAAAATTCTAATGTATCGGCAACCTGTAAACTATGTTCTAAAAGTTTGTGAACGCTTGAAGGAACGGAATAACATACCAATTGTATTCAGAAAAAATATCATTATGTATCATTAAAATATTGTTGAGAGCTTGAATCTAAATGATATACTGAACAAACTGCTTTTATAATTGTTTTAAGTCTAGAAATGATATCAACATCTACACCAGTTATGTCAGAGAAAGTATTCGATTCCTCAAAGGCTCTTCTAGCAGCATTACCATCATTAATGTTTCCAAAACCTTGTTTTGGCATGTCAACGATAAGACTTAGTTCTTCTCTACACCTCTTTTGGATAATTGCTTTTTTTCTTTAACTGATTTTTTCTGCTCAGATTTCTGCTCATGCTTTCATTTAGCTTAAAATGACCTAACTTTCAATTTATATCCAAGGTGAAGAACTCAAAGCATCTTATCCAACAGTAAAATGAAAGGCCAAAAAAAAAGCTTTTTTATTGACAGGTTTAGAACTAATCAATTTAATATCATTCATCTCTGTTGGCTTTGCTGGACATACATTACAACTTTGAAAAGAAGGTAGTACTTGTCAGTGCATTAACAACCTTTCCATCAAACATAGTCAAATCTAAATTATACTTTATAATTACTGTCAACGTAGATGACTCAATCGGTTCTGACTCTAAACTTACTACAAATGGTTTAAGTTTCTCAATCTCAATTCGTAATTGTTCCTTTTCTTTTTTTATTAGCGCATCTGTTTCCTTCTGGTACTGCAAACAAACTGTGTACTAGATAGGTTTTTTTTGTACCATATTACTGTATCATCAACAGTCAGTGTAATAGGCACAATAAATGTTTGAAAAATACTCTCTGCATTTTTTATAACTTAACCTAGAATCGTATCTGAATACTTATGTTTATATAGACACTTTATAGAAACTTTATTCTATTAAATAGTATATTGCTGACAGTACTCAAAAGTACTAAAACAAGCGTGGAGTGTGGAACTTGTTTATTGGTATGTGGTTGAAATTTTTTTTTACTAATATTTTACACTTCAGGCTGAGTAATAGCTTAAACCTAAGAATCTTTGAAAAAAAATTCCATTTCATTTGCATCGTGAATTGACACAATATAAATTAATTAATCAAAAACACTTTAACTATATGAAATAAATTTTTAAAAATTTCATCAAACATTTCCAGGTTTTTTTCATCATAAAAAATAATTATAAAAGTGCTTCAAATAAAATTCAATCAATTATAACAAAGACCCTAAAAACAGAAATAATATATGAAGATGTCACAAATTAATTGTGCTGTTATAGTGCCTACAAATGGTACATATCGATTAAACAAGCGGAAAAAAAGGTAAAGATTACTATATCAACTCCATCCACAAATATTACATTATAAATTTCATCCACAAGTATTGACATGTAAATTACAATTAAAAAAAAAAGTAACAGCATTTAAAATTTTTTTTCATGTTTGTTGATACCTAGTGAGTTTTAGAAGCATTTACAGCCCTAAGTCATTAAAATGGTGCTTAACTTGATTATCCAGAACACAACTAGATTATTTATGTAGATTTTATAATGAAACTTATAGCATTTTCGAAGTATAGTATTTTTAATAAATAGTTACAACATTGCCAGGTTTTTCATTAGAGAAAAAAAGCAGAAGTTTTTGATAGATCACAAACTTGCTAACTTATTAATGATAAAGAATTTGTTAAAAGAATGGGCAGCAATAAAAAAGCAGCTAGCTTGATGTTTGCGGTTGTTGCAAAAATTTTTCTTGAAAATAAAAAGCAGAAAACTATGTATATTTAGTTGTTAAAATGTTGGAAGCCTTTTGTGATCTTGGAAACAAAATGAGTTTAAAACTTAGTTTTATAAATAATCACTTTGACCAGTTTCCTGAAAATCTTCAAAAATTCTAATAATAATAAACCATAATTAAACTATATGCAACTAAACTAATTATATCAATTTTAAAACCAATCGAATTATATCAATTATTCAACCAATCAAATTATACTGATTATACAACCAACAAAAATTGTCCTTAAAGATAAAAAATTTCTAAAATAAAAAAAAAACTTTTAAAAAAGTCTTTAGAAAAAAAAATTTCAGTTTAAGTTTTATTTAAGAATATACATTAACTTGCTTATAAATATATAATTGCAGTAACAGGTCTGAAATGATAGTGAAAGGCCTGACAAATATTGTTTTGAAAAGGATCTCTAGCCATCCAATTAAAGGAGCTTTAACATATTTGTATTTTCTTAGTGATTTTAAAAATTTCACTGAAAAAATTTAAAAGTAAACCTAAATGATAAAAGAGTAGAAAAGAAAAACTATAAAAAAATATTAACAAACATAAACAACTCCATGTGGTAAAACTACAAAGAGCTGTTTGAGTTTATATAAATACTTTTATAAATAAATTTAAAATTATAACAATGCTTCCAACAAAGCTGCAAGCAAACTTTATTAGAGTTAAAAGTTACTGGAAGAGAAAAGATGAAGTTTATTATGAAAGATAACGCCTAGCAGAGGACTTAAAAGATTGCAAATTATATGAATCAGGAAAACAAGATAAAGGAAATAAATTCCAAATAACTGATGTTCAAGGAAAAAAAAGGCAAAAAAGAATTTTTGAAGCGCTTAGGAACAGTCACAGTACAAGAACGAGACTTAGTAATGAGTAAAACAAGAATTTATTTAAGTAAATATCACAAGAAACGCTAGCTGTTTAGAGCAGCGCCCATTATAGTATTTATAGAAAAGAGAAAGAGAAGGAACATTAGGACGATGCAACAATGGCTGAAGATTGGCTGCAAGAGCAGGTCCATATATGTTTACAATGCATTTTTGCACCTTGTCTAAAAGAAAAAGGGCATCATTGGAAGATCCCCTCCAGATATGGTAACAGTATTGCATACAAAGACGGATTAGAGATTTATAGAGATAAAGAATAGAACCTGAAGTAAAAAAAGTGTTGAGCATGATAAAGAGATACAACCTTAGATGCAAAAGAGATGCAAAATTAGATGCTAATTTTGAAATGGATTTGGTATATGGTTTCCAAGAAAGATCGAAAGTAAGAGTTAATCCTAGAAGTCAAAGGGTAGACTCATCGAGTACATTACTGTTCATAAACTAGGAATATCTAGATTATTGCAATAACGATTAGCTGAAAAAAAATTGAGTTTTTTTTTTTTTTTTGAGTGTTGGCTTCTTTTCAAAACAAATATAAATGGTAATATCATCAGCAAACAATGCCACCTAAAATGTAAGAATTTCTGGGAATTCATTAATGCAGGTTAAAAAAAGTATAGGGCCAAGGATAGAAATTGAGGAAACCCTAAAATTACAGGAGATGAAGAAGAGTGCTGCCCACTGATGACAACTTTTATACTACTATTGATGAGGAAAAATTCAATAATCTTAAATGTTACCTGATACACCATAAGAAGAATGGGATGGTAGTTAGACAAGTCAAATCATTCTCCAGAATTTTTGAAAAAAAAGGATAACAGATGTCACTTTCCAGCAGGCTAGAAAACAAGACTCTGATAAGCACTTGCTAAATAGTTTTGAAAGTATAGACGACAGCTTCGGAGAACACTTCTACAAGACTATAAAAGTTATGTTATCCGGACCGCAAGCTGTAGAAGAAGGTAAATGAGTTGAGTAAAGAAGGTAAACGATTCTAATTGTCTGGAAAGTGAGTTGGTAAATTGACTGTTTGTGTTAGAGATTGAGAAAGACAAAAGTTGTGGACCTTAACACCTGCAAAATTACTATCACTAGAGCCAAGCCATTCAGTGTGATGAACATTAAAGTCGCCAACAACAACAATATTGGCTGATGGATAAAGAGAGAGAGTTTGGTCAATATGATCAGAAATATTGTTTTGAGTTTATATAATCAAGAAGAGTTCAGTCTTGAGATGAAGAGCAATACAGAGAAAGATTCCTTCGTATACTAACATTTTTCTTTATGCAACATTTTTCTGTAAGCATACAAAATATAGTTTTATTATGTTTACTTTATGCTAAATGAAAGAATGAAGTGGTGCTAAATGAAAGCACATAAAAGATAAGTCTGTGGATTCAAACCTAGTTTCCCAACAAATGGGTAAATTCTTACAAATGTAAATGCACTGGCAAATCAAGTGACTATTAGAGTCTTTATCAATTAAATAAAGATAACCATCAACAATAAGATCATGAAATGAGACAGCTGAACGTAAATTATTCTCACAAAAAGTCTTTTCACTCTCAGCTGATAAATGTGCCTCCCACATAACCTCCTGGATTTAGGCAGGAATGGAAGCTTTTATTCCTCCTTGTCGGTTTCAAGTCAAGCCTTATTTTACTCCATGGTTTTCACCTTCTTGTGCACCTGCTATAACTAATCGTAATCATCTTTTTCCTTTCCTTCAAAAGAATAACTCTCTTGAAATAAACAGCCATTTATTATTGTAAGAAATTGATGTAAAAAGGTGCTGTCTAATGCTAAGCTCGATTATTTTTATTTTACTAAATCTTGTATCTTATCTCAGAAGTTATGTTCTAGAGACTTTTTGAAAAATCTTCAACAGCATCATTAACAAAGGTACGCCTAACATTCCATCTCTCATTCATGGAGATGATCTTATTACCCCTGAGAATAAAGTAGAACAATATACAAAGAACCTTTCTTTTATTTTGACTCTTGAATCTTATCACCATTCCCTTTCTTCTATTCCAATTAAACAGTCTAACCAATTGTTAGGCGTTCAAATAACTCCAGCTTCCATTGCTTCCATATCTCAATTAAACTCTTCTACAGCTTGTGGTCCAGACAACATTCCTGTCATAATCTTACAAAATTGTTCTCCAGAACTCTCTTCAATTCTCTCTAAACTATTTAATAAGTACTTGACTGAGACTTGTTAAGTATAATAAGTACTTGACTGAGACTAGCTCAAATTGTTATTTTACTTAATGTTAAATAACAATTTGAGCAAGTCATGTTTTCCTGCCTGCTGGAAAATGGCATCTGTTGTTCCAATTTTTAAAAACTCTGGTGAACATTCTGACCGCTCCAATTATTGTCCAATCAGTCTCTTTCTGTTGTTAGCAAGGTGTTTGAGTCTTTGATATATATATATATATATATATATATATATATATATATATATATATATATATATATATATATATATATATATATATGTATATATATATATGTATATATATATATATATGCACACACATATAAGTATATATATATATATATATATATATATATATATATATATATATATATATATATATATATATATATATATATATATATATATATATATGTATATATGTATATATTTTTCTGTTCAAAAATTAAGGTGACTTTGTATTTTTAAGAAGAAATATTTATTTATTTATCAATATTTATTTTCTCCCCCTCAAAGTAATCGCTGACACATGCCTCATGCCCAAAACGTTAGAAAAAATTTCATGGCACAAGCCAAGCGATATACCAACATCATCAGCAACTTCTCTAATAGTGATTCGACGATTTTCCAAAACAATTTTCTTCACTGCTTGAACGTTTTCATCAGTCGTTGACGTGGTTGGGCGTCCAGAGCGAGGCTCGTCATTAGCATCTTCCCGGCCATCTTGAAAGAGTTTGTACCACTTGTAAACATTTTTTTTACTCAGAACAGTTTCACCGTATGCCACTGTCAACATTTCAAGTATTTTGGAGCACTTTATTTTATTTTTTACACAAAATTTGATGCAAATCCTTTGATCCATATTTTTTGATAGCAAAAATTCGCCGAGCATGCAAAACACTTATAACCTTTACGCCTCTCACAACCAAACAAAAAATGCTGTACACTTGAAACTTGGTACAGATGTTCGTGAAGAGTGTACCAGCATGACAAAACAAAAAAATCGATAATTGAAAGTACGTTGCCCGCGAAATTTGAAAAGTCACCTTATTTTTTGAACACACCTCGTATATATATATGTATGTGTATATATATATATGTATGTGTATATATATATGTATGTGTATATATATATGTATGTGTATATATATATGTATGTGTATATATATATATATATATATATATATATATATATATATATATATATATATATATATATATATATATATATATATATATATATATATATATATATATATATATATATATATATATATATATATACTTATGTGTGTATATATAAAAAGAAAAAATACAAATTATTGAAAAAAAAAAACTTGAATACTTTTAGTCTGCGAACAGATCGACTTGTATTTTCCTTCAATGATTCAACTGTTGTTAAGAGCAAGTGACTTGTTGTTATTTGATTGTGATGTATTCTTAAAAAATAATTTTTTTTTCTAAATTTATTTATTTTTGTTCAAAAAAAAAAAAAAGAAGTAGACCTTTTTTACATATTTAAGTAAATATAAAAAAAAAAAAGCAAAATAAAAAAATAATACAAACTTTAGAAGGTATGTTAAACAGCGAGTGCAAAGCTCAACTTCCCAGTTTTTCTACAAAATAATTCAAGTTAAAACATTTTTAGATTAATAAATTAGGTCATCTTCAAAATCAGATAAACCAAACTAAAAAGAATTTTATTCTTTTCTGATGTTGGAAAGATTTATATTATTTCTATAAACATTTCTATAATTATGTTGAAAAGATAAACTGCATACTAAACAACAAATGCTGGATAATAAATTCCAGCAAACTTTAACAATATAAAACATTAAAAATAAATTGTTACTGCATAGCATTCTAAGAGGAAGCTTTACAATTGTAAATCCAATGATATAATACCATTTAATTTCGATCTTTTTATATTTAAATATATCTCAAAATTAAAATGTATTTTTCTATTAAATTGTATAAACAGTTTACAACACTTCCATAACTATCATGACATTTTCTCCTTTTAAATTTTCTGAATTGAAAATTGTAAAATTTCAAGATCTTGTAAAGCATTATAATTATCCCTTTGTGCTTGATTTTCTTCAAAATAAACTACCAAATTTGATTAATAATTTTTTTATTAAAACAAGTGACACACACAAATATTAAACTCGAAATACTGTAAATTTCAATTAGCAATCTTCCTTTTTCAATAAAACTATAAAAAATGGCAAACTTTCTATAAAAAATCAATGCATTTCTCACTGGAATCAAATAATACCATTTATAAAAAAAAAAAGATTAAATACCCTTTTATTACCAACATTTTTCTTCTCAACCGAAACCAAATTATGGAATTTTTATTTGATTATATATCTAATGAATGTAAATTTTAATTTTTATCGTTATTGCTTTTTTTATATCAATGTATTTATAAAATTATTATTACTTTTATTTTATGTCTTTTTTAACTCTATTACTTTGTTTACTATTATCGTTAATTTATCTTTGTTTTAGAAGATTAATATTATTTATAATGATAGTGATTCCATTGTAGTAATAGTTTTATGGTTTTTGTCTTTATTTTTGTTAATGTTATCTTTATTTTAATAATTTTTGTAATAGTTATAAACTTCACTATAACTATTTTTACCATACTTTTTATTTTTAGTTAAAATTTTTAGTCAAGTTAACATTTTTTTAGTTTTTTTTATTCATACTTTTATTACTTTTATTATACTATTATTATTGCAAATAATAATATTATCTTTATTTATAAGTGCTTTATTTTCTTTTCTTTCCTTTTTTTTCTTTTTTTTTATTTTATTTTAAATTCTTTCTATGTTTTATTTAAATTTTTATTTGCTTTTTCTACTCAACTCTACTTTATCTGACGTAGAAAGAGATTAACGTGTAACAAGTACAACAATTTAAACGACATAAAGCTTAATGCTGTCAAAACAAAACTTTTACTCTCTGGAAAAAAAACAAAAACTAATTGCACAATAACCCTAGATGACCATCAAATAATACCTAATAAAAAACTCATTCTTCTAGGCTCAACTTGGGATACAAAAAAAAATCAACTTTTGCCACCTTTAATAGAATAAATATTGATACTAGGGTATCAAATTTTCATAGAACAGTGCAAACTCTGATTCAATCTGGAATCAGTTATATAAATCCTTTACAGTTCTGACGCCAACCCACAGTTTAAAGTGAACTCTGTGAAATGAAAAATTTATTGATGAAAAAAACTTGACAAACTTAGAAGGAATACAATTAAATCATTTTTAAATGTCTTTAAGTATAGTAAAAACTATCTACACTCTCTATTTAAAGTTCAGGAGATACAGTAAAAAAAAAAGTAAATCTATTTATCTTCCTTTTAAACAAAAAAGTAACTTTTGAAATCATTAACTCCCAGCTTAATTATTGTTTAGTTAAATACACCTTTTTGGATGATATAAAAAAATTATGCAACATTCATAGATTGAATATTAAAAACTTAATGCTGGTTAAACAGAAAGTTAAAATTAGAGATTCAGTAAATGTCATTCCTAAAGATATTCTTCAAATTTTGGTGCAAGCAGTTTAATATTGAAATGCAAAACAACAGCAAACAATTATAAAAAATACTTTTTAAAAAAAACATTTCTATATGATCCTTTTTTAATTTATTTATATCTTTTATTCTTGTTTGATTTTAAACTATATTTGTTAGTTTGTAAACGTATTTGTAAACATATTAATAAAATTACAATATTATATATATATATATATATATATATATATATATATATAGTGTGTGTGTGTGTGTGTGTGTGTGTGTGTGTGTGTGTGTGTGTGTGTGTGTGTGTGTGTGTGTGTATATATATTTATATAAATGAGTAAAAATATTAAACAATATATTGTTTAAAATAAGGTAATTGGCGCCCAAAAACGGTCGACGCTGTCGAAAACGATCTAGAATAACCCCAGATATATATATACATATATATATATATATATATATATATATATATATATATATATATATATATATATACATATATATATATGTATATGTATATATATATATATATATATATATATATATATATATATACACATATATATATATATATATATATATATATATATATATATATATATATATATATATATATAACAAAATATATATTAAATAAAATAAAAATAACACTCAGAAAATATAACAAATATTAAAAAACAAAATAAAAATAACAGCAACAACTCCAAGAATAATAAGCAATAAAGAAACAATATAACAAAAAACCTGCAACCAATAGTTAATGAGTTCCAGCAAATCAACAACGTAAGTAAATGGCAGAACAAGAAGAGACTCATCCAATTCACTTATTTAAAAAAAAATTACAAAGTTAAGTTTAATTATTCAAATTTAAAGTAAAACATAATTTGAAATAAAAAAACTTAAAACATTTATAAAGAAACCTTCTTTTTACTTTCTTGAGAACGCTAAGAACATATTTCTTTGGCTGAAAAATGTTATTCCCTCAAATAAATTTTTTTAAGACCAAACCACATATTAAATGTTAATAATAATGATAAATTATAATATACCAAAAAAAAAAAAATTTTTTTGTACAATAATAACAGCATACTCGGTATAGTTAAGGCAATTTACAAATTATTCAAATTCTTTTATTTGGAATTAGCATTATTTTACGAGCATATTATGTCTAAACAAGAGCTTTAGATGTAATAATTTTTTTTTTGCTTCCTGTTTTTTTAATATTTAAAGAAACTTTTCTTTTTTTTATATAATTTTCAAAATCTTTTTACTACCCCTAATAGTCTAACTGAATCTAAAAAAAATGTTTTGGAGTCTTTAGATCACTTTTGCTCATCCGCGTTAACATGAATTTAGTTAAAATCTTTTGAAAAAGGACCTTAACCCACTATAGATTCTAGTTCTAATCGGTTCTGACATATATTAACTATATATAGTTGTCAAAATACAGTATTTTTATCAATTTTCACAAAAAATACAAGAATTCCAATTAGGAAACCTGATTATTTAACGGAAATATGTAGTAGTCAACAAAATATCATACAGACGTTACAATGTTTTAAAATCGCTACACCGAGTATTGCATTTTATACCATTAGACTAATATACAAAATTATATAAAACTTACATTATTTTCACCAAATGCCTTTAATATTGGGTGTGGATCATAGCTATCAACCTATATTAAAATAAAACACTAACTTATAATAGATAGTAGTTGCGTTATGGATCATACAAAAAAATTTGCAACTGTTTAAGAGATTAATTCAATTAATCTCTTTCTACAAATAGTAAAGTAAAAATGAAGGTTTTAAAGTTACAATTTTATTTAAAGAATATTTTTAAAATAAAAAATATTTTTGATTTCAAAGATTTATATTTTTGAAAAAAAAACAAAACCCTTTTGTTCTTTGTTTAATAACATTTAATGTTTTTTTCTTGGATGTATTTTTAACTTGTTTTCTTTTTTTGAATAGTTTTTAAAAAAATTTTAGTACTAATATTAAACTGCTATTTTTCACTTGCACAAACGTTTTTTTTTTTAAATTTTTACTTTTTTTTTTAAAAATAAAAACTTTTTTTCTTGGATGTATTTTTAACTTGTTTTCTTTTTTTGAATAGTTTTTGAATAAATTTTAGTACTAATATTAAACTGTAGCTTGTGTTGCTATTTTTCACTTGCACAAACGTTTTTTTTTAAATTTTTACTTTTTTTTAAAAAAATAAAAACTTATTTAAAATTTTTTAGAACCGATATAAAAATAATAATAATACAGCACTTTTGAAATTTAACAACAGATTTAAAAAACAGAAAATTATTAAGAACAGATATAAATAATAATAATGTAATACTTAAATCTTTTCAGATAAAAGAAGAAATTTAAAACTTGATTAATTTTATCTTTAAATCAAGATTTTTAACTTGTATTGTTTCAACTTTCAATTCCAGAATGTATAAAATCCCTAACAGTTTTGAGTTGAAAATTTTCAATCAGTAAGTAAATAATGTTTGTTTCATCCAATATTTAAAGGGACCAGAGAACAATTACTGAGTTAAATGATATTAAATATTTATAATTTTATTTTTGTTTTGTTTACAAGTTTTTTTATATTTATAGTTTTGTTTTATTTACAAGAGTTAAAAAAGAGAGAATAAATGTAAAAATGTTTTGTATAGCAACTAAGAAACAATGGAAAAGGTAACAAATAAACAACAGTCTAAAAAAATAACAAACCTCAATTACAATCATAAATAATAAAATTATATTATAAATATTATAAAATTATATTATAAAATTATTTATATATGACTATAACTACATCACAAGAATAGTGTGGAATCAACAGGAATATTAACAACATATAAATATTATAATCTGAACATAAATTCAGGTTTATTTAATTAATCACTACATATTTAATTTTTGTTTAAAAGTTACTACAACTCTAGAACTTCAGTGCAAAGGTTTTGAATGTTTTGGATGTTTTGGGTGTTTTAGTTGTTTAATAATTTCAAATCTATACTAGGGAGTTGATCTTTTCTTAGACCCATGTTCACAAATAAACAAAATATTGTTCCAACTTAATGAAAAATACATAATTTTCTTGAAGAAAAAAAAAATTCTTAGCATGTTCTGCTTGTTTTACATACTTCTTGCCTTTTTCAAAGACTTCTTGTCATGTTCAAACATACAATTTTGAATTCGTGTAAAAATAATAAAACATTACAAAAAACCAACTTTTAAAAGTTAACTTTTTTATTTTTCAAGGTAAAAAAAAATATTCTAAAACAACAAATTAAAATATATAAAAACCAAATAATAAAAACTAAAATGTTAGTTTGAACATCATTAATAAAAAAACACATGCAACTAAGTTTGAACACCGTTTGAAACACTTATAACTAAAGTCAGTAAAGTAAATAAGTCAGATTTAGAAGGAGAAAGAAGAAGACAATTAAGAATCTATATCACTTGGTTTTTATACGCTATTTTTATCAGATACAATAAGATACAATACAAAAGAAAAATTAGATAAGACATTATGATAAAAAATTTCAACAAATCATGATGTAACTGTTAAATAGACAGACTTAATATAAAAACATAAATTCTGTGTTTTAAACTTATTGTCATAAGTATTTTACTATAGTTTATATTGTCATAAGTATTTTACTATAGTTTATAATTGTTTACTATAATTAATCAAATGCTTTATATTAATTGTCTTAATTTAATCACTTAGTTAAAGTAAGTACTTTGTCATTAGTACTTTTTTAAACCTTGAGTCTCATGTTTTATATTATTAAGTTGTCATGACTATTTTATTATTGCTACAATGAAATCAAAACACACAAATACAAAACTTATTGAAAATACAAAACTTATTGAGCTGAAACCACCCTACATTTTCTTTTCTTTTTTCTTGTTCTTCTTTGAACAATTGAATCGCTTCCATAATTCTCTCAGCCTTAAAATTTGAAAAATAGAAAAAAATTAAAATTACGAAATAAAAAAAATAATTTAGAACTAATAATCAAATTAGAGTACAACTACTATTACTTCTTATTAACAATATTCTTAGCATTTAATTAACTACTAACAAACTAATTTAATATTTAGCAATATTAATACTTTTAATGTTTACAGCATTAGTGTAAGAAACTAGATTGTGAAAAAGATCATTAATATCAAATCACATTTTTACATTAATAAATTCTTATAATTAAAAATTAACAAAAAACTTTGATATCTTTTTTCACATTATAAATCTATATTAGCAGATTCATAATTATAGATTCATAATGTGATTTATAATTTGTTAATATTTTGTTAAATTAATTTATAATTTAAAAACATGTCACATGTTATATGTTATTTGATTCACACTAAAGCTCTTAAATGTACTACAAAAAAACATCAAAATTATTTAAAACTAAAAGATTTTTTTCATACAAAACTTATACCGCTTTAACAGTTTCTATTGTTTTTTTCCCAGCATTCTCTGCTTCTCCTTCAGTTTCACCAGGAATCTATAATTATTGAAATTATATATATATATATATATATATATATATATATATATATATATATATATATATATATATACACATATATATACACACATACACACATATATATTATAAGCAGTATATGATATATATTATATATAAATATATATATATATATATATATATATATATATATATATATATATATATATATATATATATATATATATATATATATATATATATATCTTATATTAGAGACCTATAACTATAATAAATTATTTTTACAGAAAACATGTCAACAGGAGAGAACCACTATACTCAAAGAAACAACATTTAAACATAAATGATATAAGTATAAAATTTTATACACTTATATATATGCACATATATATGTGTTTGCAAATGCTATATATATATATATCAACTTACAGGTCGGCTTCCTCTTTCTGTTAAAGTCATTTCATCTGCTTCTTCTCTTTCCTTTTTGTAAATAATATCAAATATAATATGAAGCATACAAATAGAATTAAATTAAAAAATTTTTCAATTAGAAGTTCTATTTAAATAAACTGCTTAAGATTTTGAAAAAAAAAAATTGACAGCAGAAACAAAATCTTACTAGCATGTCCCAAAAATATCATACATTGATTGACATCTTACATTGAATTTTTTTAAAAAAAAACATTGACATCTTACATTGAATTTAAAAAAAAAAAACATTGACATCTTACATTGAATTTTAATATGCTGTATAGTACACATTGCATTATTTTATCCATAAAAACAAACAACTCATTCAAACTCAAACAAAAAATTCAAGCAGAAAATTATTTAGGTAAAACATTTTTTAATAAACAAATTTTTAAATTTATAGTTTGATAAAAATATAACATATAAATAAATTTTTATAACAGTATTCAAATAACAATTGTCAGATAACATTGTTAACAACAACACAAAAAAAAGTTAATGGTGTGTGCCAAACAATTGAATTTGCATGTCATAAAATCTTTAAAGAAATCCCGAATCTCTGAGACATGTTGTGCTCATATTAAAGAGAATGATAAAAAAATGTTTAGGCTAAATTTTTTTGATAAAAACAAAAGATGCATACCAAGAAAAACCAACTTTTTTTATTTTAGTCGAAGCTTGCCTTCATTGTTTTGTTGTAGGCCAAATAGTCTTCATAATATATCCCCCAACCTACAAACCTACTTAGTGAGAAATCTAAAATCGAAAGTCATATATTGATTTCTCAATCCTATTCCAAGCACAATCCTATTAATTTAACAGAAAAATTTATGAAAAACTTGGAATGAAATAGGTCAACAAAAAAAAGAGATTTATAAATTGTTACAAGTGAATGATTAAATAATAATGAAAATGGTTAAATAAGGAATTTATTATAAATGAACCTCGACAGCAAAATCAGTTATAATATTTACAACAAGGTGCACCATCAAAATCAACAACAAGGTGCAACAAGGTGCACCATCAAGATCTCTTAAAAAGATCAAAGAAAGAAGATTGTCAGAAATTACGGAAAAGTTAGAAGTTACCACTGAAAGCCTGTTTCATGCACTTATTCTTATTTTTAACAAAGAAGGATTAATAAAAGATGCCCAAGTTTTAAAACATTTGATAGAAAGTAAATTTGATTGGTCCTTTAATATATCACGCTCTAAAATGTATTCAGCAGAAAAAGCTTTAGCTCTAATTTTAGACTGTCGAATGAGTAGGGGTGACTATCAAAATATTTGCCAAGGAGCTTTAGATAAAGGTTGAACATTATAACTTGCCTATAATTATATTGTTATAGCTAAAAATGATTGCATTCCAGATTTCATAATTATTACTTCAAACTACAGTGCTTCTGTAAATCTTCAAAGAATAATGAATCAAATTGCAAACAGGATTTGAAAAATCATGGATAAATCCAAACTACCTAAGCAATAATTCTCTTTTTACTTTTTTATAATTTACTCTTCTACTTATAAGCAAGTCAGATTTGATGGTTCAACAGGACGGTCTGTTTATAAACATAAAACCAGTTCTATGTTTATAAACAGACTGTGTCTTTTTATAAACAGTTTTATGTTTATAAAAAATCATATTCTGTTTTATGTCAACTGAGCTCAACTAAACAATAATAGACTCAAGCACAAGTTAGAACATACTATGATTGATGGAAAAGTTTCCATTTATTTTATCTGTTAAGTGATTCTTATCAAGTTAGAAACATTAGTGGAATAAATCCCCAAAAAACAAATAAATTTGAAATTGCTATGTTTCTTACATATTGGACAGAGAAGATCAGGATATGATCTAGATTTTTTCATGCACAGCTGAAAATAAACGATTAGCATGCAGGAAAAAAGATTTAAAAGAAAAAAAGATAGAAAAAAACAACTTGTTTTTAGACTTGTTTTTGATGTTTCAAGAACATCAAAAACAGATGTTCCAAGAATGGTTTGGTACATTTAATGATGAAAACTCAGCAAGAAGAGCATTTAAAAGCCACTAAATCTTTGTGGAAATACTTGGATCAAGATCTTGTTAAAAGATTCTGCATTATCATTTGTGTTTCATTGTTACTTTTGCTATTATTTGAGCCCTTTATAATAATACTGTTTAAAAAGTTCAGTTTAGTAAAAATGTTTTATAAATAAATATAGATAAAAATTGTTGTTTTTTGAAATCTTGGTGTTAAATCTATATTACACAATTTTAATGTTGCTGTATGTGCTTGCTTTGTAAGCACATGCACCAAAAAATATTATCTAGGTATTTATGTCTAGGTAATTATGATATTTGCCCTTTGTCTGGTTTTCATGATGATGTTAATTAATCAACCAGGAAATCAAATATATGTTATAGAAATAAATTCTATCATATAGATATAAAAATATATAGACATAAATGCAAAAAAACATGTCACATGTTATATGTTATTTAATTATGCTTCACACTAAAACTCTTGAATGTACTATAAAAATCGAAAATTATTATTGATTACTATTAAATTACATTAAATAATTATTGTGCAACAAGTGTTATGTGTTGTTATTTTATGTCCTTGATGTTGTCCTTAGTGTGCTATTCATGTTTATGATTAGTATTAAGATGTCAAAAACCATATCTCAAGTTTATTTAGTTAAAAGGTCTTAAGATAAATATTTCTGTTATATTAAGTATATAAAAAAAGTGCATTGAATGTTTTGTTATGCTATGTGTTTTTGATGTTCTACACATGTATGATCATTATCTAATCAAACAAAAACATACATGCTGGTGACTATTTATAATCAATATAATATGGAAAATTAAATATGAAATATGTCACATCTATCATTTATTATATCATTTGTCCTTGAGTTTATGCCATTGATGTGTCCATCAGAGGCTTGGTAAGGGACATTACAATAATAATTATAATAGGTCAGGGTATAATTAATATTCACAGAAAATTTCAGAGTGTTAGCTTCAAAAATGACAAAGATATGATTTTTGTCTCAAAAGTGACATTTCTAGATCACTGTGCATTAACCAAAGAAGCTTACCTAGGACATAGAAAATAATAATGCTTGAGGCCCCTATTTTCCCCTAGTGTTGTTGGATGTTGTGTCCAAAGACAGTCCAATAATATAATAAGCTATTCAGACATCTTATAGTATTCAAGCATGGTTCGAATAGTAATGAATTGATCACTTCCTTTGGAGTTTTTGATGTCTATGATACCAAATAGGAAGTTTAGTGGACCAGACACTAGCGAAGTTACGCTAATGACAATTCTACATTTAGATTCTATCCTCATTTTTACCCTAATGGCAATTCTATCCTCATTTCTTTTTTCCCAAATGTATTTTTTCAAAATCTTTGTATTAAAGTGCACAATAGTTTTTAATTTCTTAATTTATTCAAGTTTTCCTCCTTGATAATTTGTACCTCAGACTTCACTATAGCATGTTTAGAGCTTATCTTGATATTGGAATATTATCAATGTCAACTCAATCAGCCTTGCAAAGAGTAGTCTAAATTTGGTTATAATTGGGAGCTAGTTGTAAAAACTGTCTATAAATGTTTGTCTTCTAAACTGAAGACAAATATTTATATCATTCAGAAATTTTTGTTATTTCTGGGCTTTAGCTGGAGGTAAATAAAGTTCATAGCATTCAGTTAGAAAATGTCACTATCTATACTTGAAAAGTATCGATCTTGATGGCTTTTTTTAATTTAATCTTTATGCCTTTAGATCTTTTCTGACATTTTTACCAGTTTTTCCTGTGCCCTTTGTTTGCCCTGTAAGCATTTTTAAAAAATCTATTGTTTCCTAACTTGATAATATTCTTTTCTTGTAGCATCATCATCTCAATATCTGTCCCTTTTAATTCAATGCAAAACTAATTGTTTGTTTTTTAAATGAAAAAGAGCATACTGCTCTCTTTTATAACATTTTGAATTAAATAGTTTTGAAAGTTTAAAAGTTGTTTTGATTAAAAATAACCTTTAAACTCTATTTCCGTGTTTATAAATTAATAATAAATTAACTTAAACTAAATTAAAACACCAATTAGTATTTTTTTTATTATTGCTTTTACTGAAACAAGTTAAAGCTGTAAATTAAAATCAATTTTACCTCAATTCTTTATTTATTTAAACAAAATTAAATTTAATGTATATGTTTTTGGGACACCCTAATACTTATCATTATACATCGAATTTAAACTAAAAATTAATGGAAATGAAGAAAAATAATGGTATTTAAATGCTGGTCAATTTTCCATTTAAAAAATTTTATTAGAAAACTATTTTTATAATCACTTTAGTTGTTTTTTTGAGTTTTTTTTTTTTGATTATTACAATTGTTCTTCTCTTATTTCTTAAGCAAAATAAAAAATTAGAAAGATTTTTACTTGTTCTCTCTCTTCATCTAAGACCAAAAGTTCTTCAGTTCTTTCCCATATTCTTATTGATTTATCATGAGATCCTGTTACCTATTAAATTAGATGAGCTTAAATAAGATCAATTTACCTATTAAAATTGAGAATTGTAGTTTTACTAAAAAAAAAAAAAAAGCGCTAATTTAAGAATTTATTTAACATCGAGAAACTGACCAAGAATTCTCCATTGGTACTGACTGCTAGAGCCCATATTTCTGCATGGTGACCCTAAACAAGAAAATAAGATAATAATACCAATAAATGATAAAGTAATAATAAGTTTTATAATTTAGTTTTAATTATAAATTTAAATAAAAGAAAACTTGTATAGATAAATGAAATAATAAAAAATAAAACTTATTTCAAAACAACTTTACTTTTAATGTCATTATGTTTTCAAACTTGTCAGCATCCCAATACTTCAATGTTTTATCTTTGCTTATTGAGAAGAAGTAATGCGTCTTAGAAACAAACTAAACAATAATACAACTGTGAGTTATGTGATAACGTAAAACACCAACAACAAAAATATCAACAAAAAGACAAGAAATTTAGAAAACATTTTATTTAGTGCAGAAATGAAGATCGAGGCAAACATGAAGTTGTAAACAAAAACACATACACACACACAAAAAAAAAGGTAATTAAAGTTGATAAGGTAAATTAAGTGGCTAATAAAAAAGAAGAAACAATATATCACATGGAAAAAGCGTTACAAAAAAGAGGAATAAATAGAAAAGATGTATGATAGGCTCAAAAAAACAAAAAAACAAAAAAACAAAAAAAAAAAAATGATTTTTGATATAATATATTACAAGGGTTGAAAACATGTGGTTCTAAATAATAGATTTTAATTTGAAACATGTGGTTTGCAAGACACATGTGGCTCTTTTATTTAAAATGCATGTCCAAATTATGTATTTTAATTTTATTGAAACAAACATATAACTTATTAAAAGTAATTTTACAAAATTTTTTTTTAAATTTTGAAATATAAATAAACTTATATAGGTAGTTATTTATATAGGCCTTTTCAATCAAACACAGAATTCGTTATGCTGTTCCTTCCAACAGCCACCACAAGTTGTCATTTACAAAGTGTGTTCAGGAAGAACACACTTTGCAAAAATTGGTTTTGTTACATTTGCTTAGTTGTGTGCTTAAATTTTGCATGAGTAAAGTATGTACACACAAATGTGTCAAGATTTCTCTTATAATCCATGAATTTATTAATTGTGAAGAAATAATAATAACTCATAAACAGAAAATACAAATAATATGAAAACTGACTTATTAGGTTAGAAACAGAAGTTAATCTAATTGTGTTAAATTCTGCCCTATCTAGAAAAAAATCAAAATGAATATGATTACATTCCAAGTACAACTAGTTTATAAATGTGTTTAACATGTAATGGAAAGTTAAATAAAGTTAAAAAGTTGAGAAAAAAGTTAATGAAAAGTTAAATAAAAAAAAATTAAGAAAGGTTAAATTAAGAGAAAACAATCAAAAATCAAAGATGTCCTACTTTCTGCAAAGTTGATGACACTAAAATAAATAAAATAAACATTCAAAATGGCTGAGAATGTAGGATCACAACAGCTTTTATCTGTATTTTAGTATGTGACATCAAGGATACTGGTAAGTGGGGTAAATTGGCCATTTTAAAAATTGGGGTAATTTGACCAAATATGGTCAAATATTTATTTGGTTTATAAATCTACTTTTACTTTTTTAGTTGCAATATAAAACTCAAAGGGAGGTTACACATGCAGTAACTACCCTACATATAGAGAGAGTGGACGAGGCTATGAAGAACATAGTTGCTGGTATTCCTGTTAAAAGATCCTGAACTGAGACCTTCTGGTGAAACTGTCATTCTTGCCAATGAAGAGCTTGTCATTGCTCAAAATATAAATACACTTGAAAAATCAAATTTGCTTGGGATCTGGCTGATTTAAGACACTTCATCGAAGGTATCCTTAAAAAACAAAAGAAAATTGTTTTGACCTTCACCAACAATTCTGGGTAAAATTAGCCCTTTGGATTCTTGAAAGGGCACCACAACCTAATTACACAGAGAAATGGTCAGAACAATGTAAGGAGCTTTACAGCTTAATTGAAAAGCAACATGTTTTTTTTTTTTTTAACAATCAAGTGAAGAAAAGCTTGTTTTTTTTTCAACAGTCTGCACATTCTGATCAAGGACTCCTTCTAATATAATGAACTACAATAAGACTAACTTCAGTGATGATCTAGGCTCCAAGAAAATAATTTACAGAAAGGCCACAAAATGGCTTATTTAAATACAAAACATTTACAATGTTTTGTAGCTTAAACCAGGTTTTTTTGTCAAGTGGCTTAATTACACAATTTTTATATTTTTGAAAAATGACTTTTATTAATTTTGGTTAAAGTCTTAAAGCTAGATTGCTGATTTTTACATATAATTTGCACTTTGTATGAGTAATTCTTGAATAAAGTTTACATGTTTATAGCTCTTGTATTTAGCAGACTATAAAAAGAAATGTGGCTATTTTACCCCATCTGACGGTATATCAAAGGATTATTTTATGACAATTAGAAATGTGTAAACTTTTGCTTTAAGTTCTGTAATATCATGTCTTGAGTTCTGTTCTGTCGAACACTGAAAGGCCAGCACAAGAGTGAATAATACACAATAATATAGGAAGTGCCAGTTGTTTATATAATATTTTATAGAAAAATATAAATAGCAAAATAATAATAATATTATTATATAATTAATATATATTAATTACTATTTAAGCATTAATAAAACAATTTTAAAATAATTTATTTAACAAAGTTGTTCAACAATAAATAATACTTTTCTGCTGAAAAAACAAAATTGTATCACTTCAAGAGATTGGAGCTGCTAAATTTTGCAACTCTACAAACTTCATATTTATTTATTATGCAATTTTAGATACTATATATACCTATTTTTATACCAATAAAATAAAAATATTTATTTTATTAAAACATAATAAGATAAAATAAAATCATCCCACCTTCACCCAATATCAGTTCTTTATATGTAAAACTTGCGTTAATCATAAATCCTCTTTGCTTTTAAAGTTTTTTTAATAAAAAAAGATAAAATATATACTAAAATAAACTCACCTGAACACCAGTAATGCTAAAAAAAAAAAAAAGAAGATAAGCTGTTGAGAAAAAAGAGAAACAAAAAAGAAAGTTTCAAAATTAGGAAATTTTATCCTTCAAAAAGGGTTTTTTGGAGGATAAAATTAGGCGATATTGTTATGATTATATATGGCCAGGAATAAATTTTATACAACATTTTCATGATATTGGGAATTTAGCTTGTTGTTTTATCAAGGGCTAGAGACTAAAAAAAAGGTTATCAAATTCTGACATATTAGAATTGTTTAAGGCTCGGCCACAACATCTCAACTCATTTAATACCAGCAATTCAAGGTTCACACAAAAAATTAACAAATTTTAAGATACATAAAATTCTTTTGAATAAGATTTTTAAAATGTTGGTTATAGTATGTGAACTTATCATATTATCTCATTCATACTAAAATCTCACCTATCATCATGAGCAAATATTGATTTATGACAGTCACCGAAATCTAAGCCCCATATTTTGATATTTTTATCTGCGGATCCAGTTATAAGCAGAGTGCTATCCTGATAAAAAATTTAAATAACATAACAAGTGTAATAACAAAGAATAATGAAAATATAAAAAAACTAAGTTAACAAAAATAAATTACATATAACTTACTAGTGAAATATCCATACATAAAACAGGAAATTTATGACCATATATTGATAAGAAAAACTAAAATAATTATTTAGGAATAACAGTTTTAATTAAATTTTTTTTTTTTTTCAGTAGAAAAAAAAAGTAGTCTTCATTATTTAAATACTATAATAATACAATAAAAACTACCTTCAAAGTATCTGTAAAAAAAACTTTAACTGTACTATCAAGTAAAGAAACAGCAAGCAGTCTACCATCAGGACTAAATGCAATAGAAATAAAAACATGTAAATAAAATAGCAATAGTAAATAAAAACAACTTATTGAAATTGATACTTGAATGCAATCAAATTTGAATAACTTAAACTAGTTTAAAACAATAAAATATTATTAAAGCAAATTAAAGTCACAAAAAAAAAAATAAAAAAAAAATTGATTTGATACCTGAATTTTACGGCTAATATTTCTTCAGACATTTTCAATGTCTGAGTATGTGTCATACCTAGGCGAGTGCTAAATAAAAAATAAAAAAACTATTTAATATTACTTGAAGTGATAAAAGATGATAATGAGGTGATAAAAGATAATAATGGGGTGATAAAAGATGGTAATGGGGTGATAAAAGATGGTAATGGGGTGATAAAAGATGGTAATGGGGTGATAAAAGATGGTAATGGGGTGATAAAAGATGGTAATGGGGTGATAAAAGATGGTAATGGAGTGATAAAAAAATTATAACAGAGTTGTCATAGTTGTAGGTAATTATAATACAATTGAGATCCTACTCATAAAAAAAATTAACTATATTTCTTTATAAATTAACTATAATTCTTTATCACAAGACCTTTCAGGTCTTATGATAAAGAATTAGATGTAGTGCATTTCATGTATGTGTATATTGAATTAGCATGGGGTTACGCTAATTATATTAAACCAAAAACTTTTCTGTTTGCTAATGTTTTAATATCTCCATTGTTGTTTTTTAAATGATATTTTAATCAAGTAATTAAAGTTTATTACAAAGTAGTTGAAGTTTTAAAAACCACACACAATATATATATATATATATATATATATATATAATATATATATATATATATTATAATATATAATAATTAATATATAATAATATATAATAAAATATTTGTTACAAAAGTTAAAATTACAAATACATAAAACATACTCATTATTTACAAATTCAGAGAAAATTTAAAAAATGTATTACTTTTTGTAAAACTAACTTCATAATCAAAACATTGAAGTAGTCAAAATATTTTATCACTTGACAAATGCAGTGTTTCTTAAAAGCATGTACGCTTAAAAAAAGCTAGTCTATATAAAAAATGTACTACATTTTTTATTTAACCGTGTAATGCCCAGGTTTAACCAATCAGGTTTAACCTGATTGATTTTAAATTTTAGTGCAACTATTATTATGTGGTTTTTATAAATAAACTAGATTTAACCCATTACAAAAATCATATTTATCGTTTTAAATTATTTTAAAAGTTTCAATCATAAACAATGTCTGAAAAAAAGCGCTTACAAAAACATGTGGATTAATTGTTTCGAAAACTAAAATACCAGATAGAAATTTTGTTTAGATGGTAGAAGCAAGCAACAAATTTTGTTTGCTTTATATAAATTACAAGGATCATGATTGGATTTTGAATAATGAATCTTATTTCACATTATTATATTTATTTATGGAAATGGATTCTATTATACTGATGATAAAAAAATATATAATTAATAAAATGCTAGAGCAAACTTTAAACACCATCAAAAATGCATCAATAGTCTTACAGTATGAATAAAAAAAGTACTACAATGGTTAAATGAACATTTATAGGAAAGTGTTTTGAACAAATTTATTAGGCTTTGTTTACAATAATACCAATAAATGTTGAGTCAGAAAAAATATTTTCCACTGCTGACATAATTTGTACCAAAATTAAAGTTCAGTTATGATGATAATCCACTAAAAACTTTATGAGCTTTATTTGATAAAGTCACATGCAAGGAGTGCAGCTACATCAACTAAGAGTTTTGGCTGGGGTAGCAACCATTTTTTTATTTACTTTTTTATTTCTTTTTTCTGAAAAAAGTTGAATGGAATTAACTAAACAAAAAAATGCTGATTTAAATCTAAGTATAAATAACATGAAGTAAAAAAAAACAAACAAAAAAAAAACAAACCTTGTTAAAGAATATTCTTCATCTTTAATCAATTCAAACTCCCAAAATTTTACATCATGATCAGCGCTTCCTGTTATGAAACCTCTCTAAACGTGTAAAATATTAAAAATAAACATTTTATATCAGTATTAAAGCTATATATATATATATATGTATATATATATATATATATATATATATATATATATATATATATATATATATATATATATATATATATATATATATATATATATATATATACATAGTCCCTGGTCACAATATTGTGATCACCTCAAAGTGATTTTAAAGAAATTAAAAAAAAAAATTTGTTTTTAGTATGACTACTTCATTATACTGATATCTATTGTGTTTTAAAAGAAAAAAGAAAATTTCTTTATGATCATGAACAATGTGAAGTTAGGTGTGTTTTCATACATTTTTTTGATATTGTAACAGTTTTTTTTAAGTGAAAAGTGTTTTACTATTTTTAATACATTTTATAAAGTTACTATAAATAGCAGGAGCTAATATATAGCACCATTTTATTAACATTTTTAGTGTAATAGGTTGTAGTTCAAATTTTCAATAAAAAATAAACATGAATAAGGGTTTCGAAGTTTTGAAGTGCACAGTGAGGAGACGTCTGGCTGAAGATGGTTTAAAATTACACACACAGGCTAAAAAAATAAGGCTAACTCCAGCAATGATAAAAAAGAGATTGCAATGGGCAAAAAATCATAAGTATATGACTGTTGGAGATTGGGAACATGTAAGTTTATCAATTTTGAATGAAATATTGTTAAAAAAGCATTTAAATGTTGACACAATTAACTTAATTACAATCACACTATGATGATTTTTTCAGGTGTGTTTTTCAGAAAAATCAACTTTTAGATCTTGTTTAAGGCACCTTCGTCGGAAGAAGACGAAACAAAAAATATCATCCAGATTGCATTGTACAAACTACTAAACATCTGACTAAAGCTATGTTGTCAGTTATCAGTGGTAAAGGCACAGGAAGACTATATATTGTCAATGGGATGATGAACCGAGTACAGTATCGAGAGGTTTTGGAGGGCCAACTTATCCCCTAAATACAAGAATGGTTTCCAAATGACAATAGGTTTACGTTTATACATAATAGTGCTCTATGCCATAAAGCTAAAAGCATCACAAACTTTCTTTAAATATAAAACATCGCTTTTTTGACTGCCCAGGGAACTCTCCTGACCTGAATCCAACTTTTGTGGAACATTCTCAAGAAGGAAATCTCTTCTGAGGTTTCAACAAACAAAAGGGATTTGATTGAAAAATTACTCTATCATTGGCACCACAATGAAAAAATTAAGACAGCAGCAATAAACAGTATTAAAAGTATGCCAGACCGAATAGCTAGAGTCATTTCGTTGAATAGAGGAATGACAAAATATTAACATTTTTATATGACTTGCCATCGAAAAGAGTGATTGTTTGTTAGAATGTGTGTAAATTGATATTGAAATATTATTTTCTTATTATGGAAACATTTTTTTATCAATAAAATATAACTAATATTGCAATCGTACTACTTTTCATACTTTTATCAAACCATTGAAGTTAAAAATACACAAAAATTGTAGGTGATCATAATATTGTGGCCAGGGACTATATATATATATATATATATATATATATATATATATATATATATATATATATATATATATATATATATATATATATATATATATATATATATATATATATATATATATATATATATATATATATATATATATATACACACACACACACTTGGGGTATCCACATAAACACTGGAAAAAAAAACTTTTCTCTGATCTGAATGCACACTAGTTTATTTTGTGCCCATTGGCATTAAAATTTACTGTGCAAAAGATAATTAAAATAAATTAATGTTTAGAGGTTGCTCAATGGCCTTTTAATTTTACAATAATAGCATTACGCCTTAAATAATTTTTTAAATTTTATCCCATGTTTAATTTAGATAAAATATTAAACAAATTTGATGTACCATTGTCTTTTATGAGCTAACTTCTTTGGTCATGTGACAAGCAGCCATCTTGTCATCTGATGTTTTTGATTGAAAAACATTTTCATTAATTGTAATTTTTTTGTAATTAAACATTTTGAGGTTCTTATTTATTTTAATCCTATAAAATAATAATAGCTGTTATGCCAATACCTTGTTTTTTAGTGCTAAGTATTATTGAGTGACTTAACTTACTTTAGTGTTTGTAGTTTTGTAATATTTATGATTTCATCACATTCATATTGAAATATTGATCACATATTTTAAATTATGTTTGCAAATTAATATTTAATTTCTCAAGTTGAGTTTAATTTGGTATCATTTAATTTTAGCTTGTTGCTGAAAATGAGTGAAAAGATAAGTTCTTCAAATTTTCCTTTGACATGTTTGAACTGCAATATAGTTGATTGGTCAACCTCAGAAGAATCTACCAAAAAATGTCCTTCCAACGATGGTTGATGTGTTAAGGACGTTTTTCTACTATCACAAAGCATTGAAACAAACAGTTCCAGCCATTGCAAAAGCAACATCTAATGGTTTAGCTCACATCTGGAAAAAGGCCAATATTCCAATGACTTACCAGCCTCATATTGTATCAAAAGTGAAAGCATGTGTTGATGAATATAATTTAATTAAAAAGAATAAAGGAATAGCTAGTAAGTCACAGTTTGCTAGAGAGAAAAATTTTAGTATCAAATTAGATTTACTGTTTGACATTTCACACAAGGATGCAAACAAGCTAATTAAAATTGATGAAGATAAAATATTTCTGGAAGACCAAAAGAATGCTCATATGATGAAGATGGCTGGAGAAGATGTAAAATTATCTTAACAAGAAAAGGGAACAGAAGAGCATCAACAAGCAGAAATAAAGAGAGCAGAATGAAGGAGAGAGAAGACAACCAGCAAATGCTGTCCTTACCCCTAGCTGTAGCCACTTTAGTCTTGATTGTGATAGTGATAGCGAAGCAACAGAAGTCATTTACATTCCTGATGACAATGATGATTATGAAAAAGAAATTCCGATTTATCACAAAAAACTAGTAACCCAATCAACTGACTGCGAACAAAGTACTAAAGATAAAAAGCCACAAATTCTCGATGAAATTTTGTCTTCTCTAGATGTATCATCCACACTTGATCGAATCAATTTATCTGACCAAAAATTCACTATATTGGCAGCTGCAATTGCTAGAGCAAGTGGAGAGGACCTCTAAAGTACACCATTATCAAGATCAACAGTCTGCCGCAAATGCATCATGCGCCATTCATCAACTGAAAATCATATTTGGCAGAAATTTATGTCAAGTGAGAAACAAAATATGGTCGTCCACTGGGATGGTAAGATGATGAGAGACAGCACCAACTATGAAAATCCAAAGTCCAATGTTGATAGAATTGCTATTGGTGTGACTGGTTGTAATCTGGAGAAAATACTGAGTATTGTAAAGATATGGACTGGACTGGCACAAGCAAAAGCAACCTTCCAGTTACTGACCATATGGAATGTTGCAAATTATATTGTCGGTATGTGTTTTGACACAACAGCGTCAAACACGGGTTCCAAAAATGGTGCGTGCATCTTGCTAGAGAAGTTGCTCTAGCGGCAAGCCACCATATGAACTTCATGCATATGGTGGCTTGCCGCCACCATATGCATGAAGTTATTATTGGGGAAATATACTCAGTTTTGCTTGGACCCAGCAGTGGACCCAACATAGCTCTATTTGAGCGATTTCAGAAGTGTTGGCCAAGCATAAATCAAGCCAATTATGCTCCATTAGATGACACCCATCTGAACCACACTGACCCAGCTGAACCACAGCTTAAGCAACATCACTCACCCAGCTGAACCACAGCTTAAGAAACTTAGATCAGAAGCTGGCTCCTTTCGGCAGAACTTTCTTATCAGATGATTCTTCCCACTTACCAAGAGAAGACTACAAAGAGATGATCGAGCTGTGCCTTTTAATTTTGGGTTTTCCGTTATCAGACTATGCCACCAAGAAGTATCGCTTTCGCATTCTGGAAGCTTATCACATGGCTAGATGGGTGGCTAAATTCTATGAAGAAATACCTCTTAAGAAGTGAATTCAAGCTGACTATGAAAGAACAGAACAACTTGTGCAAATTTTGTATTGTTGCTACTCATATCTATGTACTAGCATGGATTGCCTGTCCAATTGCAAGTGATGCTCCAGCAAATGACCTAATGCTCTTCACAAGAATTAAAGTGGAGCTTTAATTAATTCAAAGTGGAGCTGATTGGAGTGTTAGGGGTATAAAGTGTCCAGCAGCAGAATTAAACAAGTTGGAAAAGAAGCAACTTCATGAGCTTGTTACATTATCATCAACTGCTGCTTTGCAGTCACTTGGTCTCAATGTAACCATTTTATCTGAAACCGATCCAAAGACCCGGGAGGAAATTACTGAATTTTGTTATACTAAAGCAATTGTTAAATCTGTGAAAGTTATCAATGACACTGTCGAGCGTTCTGTTGCTCTTATGAGCACATTTAATCAATCCATTGCAAAAACTGAATCTGAAATGCAGAAACTAATACAAGTTGTTGAGGACAACAGAAAACGCATTCTAGATTGCCGCAAAAGCATCTTGATGACATATGCCACTGTTGCTACAGACTAAACTTTTGATTTTGTAAATAGTGCAATATTTGAATGTTATTTGCATTATTTAAGGAATTTTTTGAAAATGATTAATTGTTTATCATAGCTATAACTCAAGTTTTTTAAATATTGCTGTTGTGACGCAAACTTTTAACACAGGTCATAGGATTCAAGTCAAAATACAGCTTTTGACTTGAATCCTATGACCTCTATGGAAACAGCTAAAATATTTAATACAACAGTTAACCATAACTCAAGCAAGAAAACTTAAAGGTGAAAAAAGTATAAAGTATTTCCATAAAAACATGTATTGTTAAAATTAACCTAAATATTATGGGTCGAATAAAAAGCTTTTGTTGCAATGGTCAGTTTATTCAATATTGCCTGGAAAAGAAGACTTTAAAAGTAAATGTGTCCAAAAATTAACATATATCAAAATGTTTTCTTTTTTACAATATAAAAGAATTACTTATACTCAAATTCAAACTATAGCATACTCAACCAAAAATAGGATTTTCCAAATTTTTTTAATCAAAGCCAAAATGGTGCAACTATGTTGAACAAAATTAAAGTCATTCTATATGCATTAGTTGCAACATTTTTTAACAATTTTTGTTTTGAATTCCAACCACTTAGATTAGATGATTAATATAAATAGTTTTTGATGAAATTTTAAAACCAACTTTTAATGCCACTGCTTTTAAAATTTAAATCCCGAAATATCCAATTTTTTAGCCAACCTTAACCAAACTAAACCTTGAACACTGATATAAAATATCAATTATTTTTCTTCTATAAGCTCTTATATATATATATATATATATATATATATATATATATATATATATATATATATATATATATATATATATATATATATATATATATATATATATATATATATATATATATATATATATATATATATATATATAAGATATTAAATTTTTTTGACAACAATAATCTTCAAATAAGCACTTATATAGGTTACCTTGCATTCCCCTGGTCCATCTTTTCATTTTGCTTTGTACCATACTTGTTTAAAAATGAATTTATTTCATTTTGTTTCACATCATTTTTTACAAAAATTATTTAAATTGTTTTACCATTTAAAGTAAAACAACAATTTCTTTTACAAACTGATAATTAATAACTACCTATTTTAAAATTAAAACAAGAAAATAAAATAAATCAAATAAATTAAAAAAATCAAGTTTTTAGTCAATAAAATTGCATTTTTGTCATTTTGAAAAAATTATTTTAACTAAACCCTCAGTTGATGTAGCAGCACTCCCTTGCAAATTATTTATTTAATCAATGATTTTGCTTTTAAGTGTTAAATTGTAACTTAAACCATTGAGATTAGCAAACAGCCATTTTTTTTACCATTAGCAATATTTTAGCTAGAAAGTATAAACTTATTTCCAGCAAAACAATCAATTTATCAATTGACACAATAGTTTCTCATAAACTCTTTCAATTTTTTTTATAACTTTTTAAAAGTAATTAACAAAAAAATTTGATAACTTTTTTTATTTTAGGTAAACTTGTATCACAAAAAAGGTTCATCAAAACTATTAGCGTGTATAGGTATGTTCCTAAATAGCTAAGACAGTTAAAGGCATACTGACTTAGAGTGTCTTACATTGCCAGGTTTAGCAGTCCTTTCACTCTAGTGGATAAATCTTGCTTTAAGAAAATAGAAGAACACTTAAATGCAGTGTATTTCTCTCCTTTTTAAGGTACAGGCTGCCATTGCTTTAAAGAAGTGTCATGGAAACTGCAAAAATAATCAAAAAAGAAGTTAGAATTTGTGAAAAGGTAACCATCACTAGCGAACATGGCTAGACCTCTAGGTCAGTGAAACATGACTATAACTCTTCACTATATCATGACCAGTTTAAAGTAGATAAATATGTGCTCAAATTTGACGACTTTACACTTTAAACTTTACTTTAAACTTATTGTAAAAATCAATTTTTACTTGTAAAAAGGTTTTATTTCTTATAAAATTGTACTTTTTTAATAAGAATAGCTTGTTTCTAGTAAGATTCAGTTATTTATTGTAAGAGTCAATAGGCTATTGTAAAACTCAAGTTATTTTAAAAATCATTTTTTTATTGTCATTTTCAATTTAAGCTTTAAATAAAATGATCTAGAAATACTGGACACGGTGCCCAAAAAAACATTGTCCATGATACAGCAACAAACATGAAATGTGCTGTTACGCATGGACAAAACAAAATTAAAAAAGTCATCAATGATCACCCATCAATGAAAGCAATTTTTGATCAGTTAAAGAGATAGTTAAAAAGAAACAATAGTTAAAGTGCCAGCTGGTCTGGATGAATATGATTATGTGTAAAGGGTAGAGATTGATACAGCATGATAAAGACTACAGCACTAGCCAAAATATCTTGAAAAATAATAGGAAGCTCAAATACTTACACATTTTTTTTTGTGTTGAAAAAAAAAAGCACAAAGTTGATGTACTAAATGATGAAAAAAACATGCTTCTATTTTCCAATTATTAACAAAGTTGCAAATTGTTAATAATTGAAAAATATTTTGCAAATAATTTGCAAATGTGCATTCTAGCTGCATTAAGCTGTTGCAAAGACCTGTTTAGTGCTAGTAGTGGAATTAGTAGTGATATTGGACACAATCTTTCCATCCAGCCAGCAAATCAATTGACCTTGACCAAAGTCAATTATAACCTTGTTCATGCTTGCATGAATTTAAAAAATATAAATGAATTTGAAAAAGCTTTTAATCCCATTAACCAACATTAGTAAGAACACCTGCCAAAAATCCTAAAACCAAAAGAAGTTCTACATTAAAACAAACTAAACTATCTTTGGAAATTGTACGCTTTCATATACACCATCAGACTCATTTTCCCCTCTTTAACTACCATTAATAATTAAAAGAAAACAAAAACAAACAAAAAAAATCTGGGAGAAATTTCAGAAGCTCACAATCAGTCTTTACTAACACCAGGGTAGTCAATATTTAATTTTATATACACATATTAACAATAAAAAAATTTTATTTCAAATTCAACTCTTTAATATTTGTTTAAAAAAAAACTACATAAAAGCTAATCATTGATTTTAAATCACTTTTGAATTTTAAGTTTTTGACTTTTTCTTTAAGCAAAAATATGAAACCTAGATATATTTTTGAATAACCTGGATTACGTGGTATTTTAAAATAATAATGTTAAAAAAAAAATTTTTAACACTAAAAGAGTTAAAGAGTTTTTTAATTTTGGCCAAAAATCAAAATATTTGGACCAAAAAGAAATTTCCCCCAGCATGAGTTTACCATAAAATTTATTGCGACTTATTATAAAAATAATAAGTAACCAAAACAATTTTCACATAAAAAACAAAAATACCTTGTTAAATTGGTAAAATGGTATATAAGCAATGATTTGAAATTTTTAATAAAATTATTAATTTACACTTTAATTTAAATCCCAACATATTTATATAAAATATCAAGCATTTTATTGAAAGATAGACAAAACAAAAATTTTGGTTTGGTATCACCTCATACAAAACGAATCTAAACTTGTTTGATTTTGTACCACTTTTCACAAAACAAAATAACATTTGTTTCGCTTTGTACCACTTTTCACAAAACAAAATAACATTTGTTTCGCTTTGTACCACTTTTTACAAAACAAAATAACATTTGTTTCGCTTTGTACCACTTTTTACAAAACAAAATAAAATTTGTTTTGTTTTGCACCACTTTTAAAAAAAAAAAATAAAATTTGTTTTGCTTTGTACCACTTTTTACAAAACAAAATAAAATTTGTTTTGTTTTGCACCAATTTTAAAAAAATAAAATAAAATTTGTTTTGCTTTGTACTACTTTTTACAAAACAAAATAAAATTTGTTTCGTTTTGCACAACTTTTTTTTTTAAAAAAAAAATTGTTTTGCTTTGCACCATTTTATACAAAACAAATCAAGCTTGTTTTTTAAATTTTTTTTACAAATTAAAAATTCTTGTTTTGTTTCCTATTGGAAACTACATTTGTTATGCTTTTTTTCTCATATTATACCATTTTGTGATGTAAGTACCTAATTAATTCAATAAATTATAAACAATTTAACTGAATTTTTTATACATATTAACTTTCACATGGATTGAAATACAAAAATACAGTTACATCTCAAGTAGAAACAGACTATGTTATTTTTAAATGTGCTGAAGTTTGATTTCTTGCACTAATATATACTTGCTTGTATGCACCAATTAACAGTTTTGGAATTCAAAATTACTGCACAACGTTTATGTTCCAGAATATTGAAGCAACATGTTACATGATATTCAAGCTACTACTGAATGTTAAAAAAATATGTAGAACTTTATAAAACATTAAAATTTTAACAACCTTATCTGGAGATAGAGCAATAGACCAAATAGGTTGCTCATGGGCATCAACAGTTTCGAGAAGAATTCCTGCACTGATATCAAACAGCTGAAGTTTACCACTCTGATTTAATACAAAAATCATCATATATTAATGCAGCATACAGAAATTTGCAACAACTATTTACAAAATGTAAATTATATCTCATTTAAAAAAACACAGTAAAGTGATTATTTACTAAAGATTTATCACTCTCTAATACTATAATCACCATCTTAAAAAAAAAACATTGATACCTTGGTACCCACAATAGCATGGCGATCACCAGGAACAAAACATGAACAAAGACAATACTCTGAATCTAATGTACGTATACATTTCTGAGAACTCCTTGATTTATAGAAAGGGTATACAACAAAGTTGACATTAAATGGTAAACAAATTATAAATAAAAATATTTAACTTACAATTTTAAAAATTTTAATAAACTTTAAAAAAAAACATTAAAAAAAATGCATAAGAAAAATGCATAAAAAAAATATTATATACATATTTAAAAAATTTTTAAGAACCTGTTCCATATTTTGACAGACTCTCCTGATCCACTTAGTATCATAGTTGCATCACCATTAAGCGACAAAGTTCTATCAATACAAAATTGAGCTAATCTTATATAATTTATTTAACAAATATTTTATTTTTTAACATTTTTATTGTTATATTATATAACTTTTATTTTTATATAAATAACAGGAGTCAAAAGAATAAATAAACATTGAAATAAAAATTTATTTGTTTATTATTTATTTGTTTATTTATTTATTTATTTATTTTTTTTTTGGGGGGGGGATTACAATCTACCATTGTTCATATCTACTAAAAAAAGGAACAATGATTAGTTGCACTCTTCTAACAGGTCTCAGCAATGGTTTAAGGGGAAGGTCTGACATCTATTTTGACCCCTAAATAATATAAAAATTTTACTATAAGCCCTACTTTTTCCCATATAACTTTAATGTGGCAGTGGAAAAAAACGTTTAAATATTTTTCTTATCTTCAATTAAAGAAATATGAAACACTTTTTTAACAAAGAAAAAAGGAAAACAAAACTTTACTTCATGTGAATTTTTTTGTAAATATCTGTCTATTCTTAGACATTTGATGTTTTAGATCTATATCAGCTATTTACAGGCAAGGCAAGAGCATATTTCAAGGCATTTTACTATATAAAATATATCACATAGTAATATATCAAAACATAATATATAATAAATTGTCAGTACTTAAACACTCTTAAACCATATCATTTCCTCCACTATGTTTAACAGTAAGTAACTGATATTTTGGATTGTCTCTGCCCTCTATTGGATGTTTAACATACCAAATTTTGTCACTACCAGGCTTTGTCGGGAAAGGGGTGCGATCGCACTAGATAACTGACCAAGGAAATAATATTTAGTTGCGAAAAACCGGCCAGAATTTTTTGGCCGTTTTGAGAACATTCAAGTTCACGTATGTTTCCTTGTTTGTCCGTAAAATAATTATTAAGTTATTGTAAATCTTAGAATATTTTGTATTATGGACTTACACGGAAACATACATAAACTCAAATGTTCTCAAACTTTGTGCGGAAAAATAAAAAAAAGAATATTGGCGAACACAAAAAACCCACCAAATCTACTAACAACTAATTCTATTAGTTCAAAAAATATTAGCAGAGATTTCTAGAGTATTCAAAAAATACTAACCAAATGTTCTACAGTATTTTGTTGAATTATTTTAAAAAGTTGTATTATTTGAGTATTGTTATGTTTTCGTCGAGATTTCTAGCATAAATTGTTTTAACAATATACTATCAAACGAGCTTTTATTTTAATACTAAATAAAATACTAAATAAAAACTGCCATTCTCGAAGCCACATCTACAAAGCTATAAATGTTTTAAACTTACATTAATTGTTTACAAAAATAAATTTTTTAAATTTATGTTTTTAAGTTCTTAGAAAGAAAAGTTTTTAAGTTCTTAGAAATTGGTTAACTAACTTCAATTATTTTTGCTTCAGCCATTCTTACAAACTTGTTATTCTTAACTCTTTTCTGTTTTAAATACTAATTAAAATTATAAAGCCCACTCACTAAACATTATCAGCGGTAATGCGAAGCTGTTCCGCTTCCTCCTCGCTAAGTAATTTAACGTTTTTAGTTCATTTCTATCTAGTTAATTGAACTTTTACAGTAACTCCATGATTTAATTATTTCATTTGTTCATCTTACTAAAAATAATAGTTTCAAATGTGTTAAGCTTTTCAAACTACGTGAAGCATAAAACAGTTATTGAAAAAACTTTTTTATTTATAAATAAATTATCTTTTGATAAAGCTTTTGATAAAGTTTGGCATGCTGGTCTTCTCCATAAGCTTTCTTCTTATGGTGTAGCTGGTAACGTCTTTAAGATTATTGAGTCCTTTCTTTCCAATCGTAGTATAAAAGTTGTCCTCGATGGACAACACTCTTGTTCACATCCTGTAACTTCAGGGGTTCCTCAAGGTTCAATCCTTGGCCCTATACTCTTTTTAATTTACATTAACGATCTTCCAGATATTCTCACATCTAAGGTGGCATTATTCGCTGACGACACTACCATTTACTCTTGTCATGATAAGAAGCCTACACTCTCTGATTGCTTGGAGGGGGTATCTGAGCTTGAAAAGGATCTCACTTCTGCTACAGCATGGGGCTCCCAGTGGCTGGTGAACTTTAATTCAGATAAAACTCAATTTTATTCGGCCAATCGTTATCGTAATAATTTAGATCTTCCTATATTTATGAATGGTAATGTACTAGATGAGTCATCTACCATTCATCTTCTAGGATTAACTCTTACTTCTGATCTTTCTTTTAAACCGTATATCAAATCCATTGCAAAATTAGCATCTGCTAAGGTTGCATCTCTTTATCGAGATCGACACTTTCTTACTCCAGATTCTATTCTCTATCTCTATAAATCTCAAATCCGTCCCTGTATGGAATACTGTTGCCACATCTGGGGCGGATCTTCTAATGATGCTCTTTCTCTTTTAGACAAGGTGCAAAAACGAATTGTAAACATAGTTGGACCTGCTCTGGCAGCCAATCTCCAGCCTTTGTCACATCGTCGTGATGTTGCTTCTCTTTCTCTTTTCTACAAATACTATAATGGGCACTGCTCTAAAGAGCTAGCGTCCCTTGTGCCATCTACTAAAATTCATTCTCGTGTTACTCGCCATTCAATTAAGTCTCATCCTTTTTCTGTGACTGTTCCTAAGTGCTTCAGGAACTCTTATTCTTCTAGTTTTTTTCCTCGAACATCAGTTCTTTGGAACTCGCTTCCTTCATCTTGCTTTCCTGATTCATATAATTTGCAATCTTTTAAGTCATCAGTCAATCGTTATCTTGCTCTACAGATTTAGTCTTTTCTCTTCCAGTAACTTCCAACTCTTATAGTGGTTGCTTGCAGCCTTGTTGGAAGTGAAAATGTTAAAAAAAAAAAAAAAAAAAAAAAATCTGGCGTTAGTTTTACTGGTTGAATCTTGTTGGACTTTTCAGGGCCGCGGGCTGCATTATTTTAGTGGCATTTATTATGTGCCACAGCGTAAAAATGACTAAAAAAATATCGAATGGTCCTTTTGACTATTTCGCGGCCTCTAACATTGTGAGTCCCGGGGCTATAGCCCTTCTACCCCATCCCCCTCTCCCCCACCTCAATCCAGCACTGGAAATAAGACATAAGTATATAAATAAAAATTACATACTCATTGATGAAATAAAGAACATTTGTTTCCTTATTAAACAATCATTAATAGAAAGTTGTTACTTTATATAAAAAATGTCGCCTATTTTTATAAAAAAAATATAAAATAACGACGTTTCAAAAATATTTGCTCTAATCGTATTTTTTTGCTTAAAGTTTTTTTTGCGTTAAAAGCTGTTTTCTTTTTTTAACTGTCTCTCAATGGTCCAGTTAATCTTAATGCCTTTTTTTTTTTGAAATGTTTTTGAAATGTTCTCAAAACGAATAAAAAATCTGGCTGGTTTTACGCAACTAAATATTATTTCGTGGTCAATTATCGAGTGCGATCGCACCCGCTTCCCGACCAAGCCTGCACTACCAAATAACATAAAACTTAACTCATCAGAGAAAAGGTTTGACATTTAATGACTTTTGAGCAGTCAACTGTGCAACTAATATGATCTTTTGCACATTTAGTTCTGGCTTACAAATATCTTGCTGATATCAGCTGTTTCTTACCTAGATAAGAACCATTTTTGACATGGTCAATGTTTAGTAGTGTCAATGTTACAGTTTCATCTATAAAAATAACACATAATTGTATTAAGATCAACAACATTTCTGCAAGGATCACTCTTGAAACATTTTACCAGAAATCTATTGATTTTAGCAGTTTTTAACTTTAGGGTTCCAATGGGAGGCTTGTTTTCAATAGTTTTGCACTGAAAATTTTTTTTGACAATGTGATTTATTCCTAGTTTTGAAGCACTGTAAAATTTAGAAATCTTTCTAAATTTTAAAACAATGTTTCAAAAAGTGATTATACCTTATATATATATTTTTAATTTAGATAGCAAATAAAGATTAATTTTTAAAATCTAGCCTGCAAGTCTAAAAATGACCATTGTGCCAACGCTTTTTTCATGCGCTGCCATTAAATTCTAAATGAAAAAAACTAATATATATTGTTACATGCAGTACCAGGAATTAGCATATAGCTAATTTCTATAACAATATTCATAATAAAACATTTTCCAACTCAAAATTATGTTTACTTTTCATAAATCATTTAAGATTTTCTTTTTCATTTTGTCAATTTGATTGTAAAAAAAATTAAAAACATGAAAATAGAGAATAAAAACTCTTTCTAACTTTTTAAGTTTTAACTTTTAAAACAGTTTTTAAATAAATCTTTTTTTTTTATTAACATTTTTTTCACTTCCATTTCTTATGAGTGATTGTTGTCAACAATAAATTAAATAAAATTATGAAAACAAGTAAACTCACCTAACGTCTGTCCTATGACCCATGTTAGAAAGTAAAGATTGCAGCTGACATTTATTTAATTCAGATTGCACTTTATAATAACCAAATGAATTGTTGGTAAATAAAACAATGAGCTAAAAAATTAGTATTAAAAAACTATTTATAAGTTTTATTTTTAAGATTACACTGATGTTTAAAACAAAATTCATTCAAATAATAAAAAATTATTTAAAACTTTATGGTACTTTTATTTCTCCAGAATCATCAACTGTTATGTCACAAGTTCTAAAATGGAAAAAAATAAATAAATAATATGAAATTATTGTGCTACATCAAAAGTTACATAAAATGCAATGAATAAAAGCAATTAATTTTAATGAATTAAATAATTGATTATTTAGATTATCAATTAGGTATTAAAGTAGGCATTGCCAAATGCCTACTTTAATACCTATATATAAATAAGGATTTCTTATATGATATTTTTTTCAAACTTGTATCAAAAATGTAGTTAAATGGTTGTAAAACATTGCATTTTAAGAGTTTTGAATAATATAAGCAGATATGTTTATTATAATATATCAAATATAAGCAGACATGTTTATTTTTAAGAGTTTTGACTAATATAAGCAGATATGTTTATTGTAAATTAAGTTTTACAATCTAATTTATAGCATTTACAATGAAAATCAATTCAAAATTTACTTTATTCAAACAATTTTTTTTGATGAAAAAAATGAAAGGCTAGTAGGTAACCTGCTGCATTGCTAAATGTTTAAAATATTAAAATACATTTTTGAATTTATGAATAAAAAATTTGTACAGTTTAAGTATAATAAAGCCGAGTTTTAATAATAAAATATTTATAAAACCTGGAAAACTTTGTTAATAACATCCTATAATTCTGCACAATTACTCTAAAATAATGCTGTTTTTGTTATACTTTTTGTAATAACTTTAATTTTAAAATTTTGTTGTTTTTTTAAACCTAATTTTATTTTACGATCAACATTTTAAACTTTAATATTAAACTCATTCAAAGTTTAAAATATTCAAGAACCAAGAAAGACTCTATTTAGTACTAAAACACCGCCATATTCATAAAACATCTAAATTAATTTTATTATTAGTTATATCATTAAAAGCATTATTATTAGAATCTTTAGTATCATTATAAACAAAAAATTACTTACTTTATCTTTTGTTTTAATGGAAAAAAATGAAGTTTTTTTATTTCGTCTGTTATTTCTCTTTCTTTAGGCAATTCTTCCTATAAAGCATTAAAAAGTATTTATTATTCATTCTTAAATGATTTTAAATAATTAATACAAACATTTTCCAGATACATATAATAAATATAAAATAATACAATAAAATATATTAAAATTACGTGTTTTTCTTCATCTCCTTTTTTTCTAAGATAAACCACAATTTTGTTTTTATTAAAAGATGTGTTATTAACAAACAAAATGTGTTATTAACAAACAAAATAACTAAAAACATAACAAACTATTTAGTGAAACTTGAATAATATATGTTATAAAAGGTTTTAGGGGCTAATCATTTTTAACAGTATGTTGAATAATTTACCAATATATATATTTATATATATATATATATATATATATATATATATATATATATATATATATTAGGGTGTTCCAAAAACAACTTTTTTAAAAATAATCTGCTCTCACCCCCTAAATGTGTTCTATCTAATACAAAAACACTAAGTTTAAATTTTTTTCAATAAAAAATAATTTAAAGGGTCCCTCAAGACTCTCGAATATTTAATGGGTCCCTAATATTTTCAAAAAAAAAGTTTTTAAAAATTATGTCAACCTGGTACTCAAATAAAGCGAAATTATATAAAAATTTCAAAAATAATGTTCATTTCGGAAAAAACGATACATAACAATATTTCCCTTGAAATATACAATATTTGCCAAAACAAAAAACAATTTTCTGTAAAAAAAATTGCCGATTTCGTTAAAAAAAAAGATCCTCAATTTTCAATTTGGGCAGCGCCCAAATACAGTCATAAATATATATATATATATATATATATATATATATATATATATATATATATATATATATATATATATATATATATACAGGAGCTTAATGCCTGGCCTAACCAAACCCTCAGTCGATGTAGCAGCACTCCCTTACGAGTCAGGCTATTTGATAGTCGATGTATGTACTTTTCGCTTTCTATAAAAATTTCTAATTTGTACATTTTTTTTACAAAAAAAAATGCTTACGGGGACAAAAAATTAACGGGTACACTAAAATGTCCTCAATAATGCTAATGTCCCTGTAAGTATCTGTGGCCATTGTTCATTATGATAAGAGCAAAATTGGTCATTTTGAGATAAGTGCAGTTTTGTTATAAAATTGTTGTAATTTATACAGCTAATTGGTCCATAATTTATTTTTCATTATTACCCAGTTAATGGCAACAAATCAAAATTTCAAACTCTTCTCCTGCAAAATGTCATATTTGTACTTATCATAAACTGACCAATAACCACAGGTATATATATATATATATATATATATATATATATATATATATATATATATATATATATATATATATATATATATATATATATATATATATATATATATATATATGTATGTATGTATGTATGTATGTATGTATGTATGTATGTATGTATGTATGTATGTATGTATGTATGTATGTATGTATGTATGTATGTATGTATGTATGTATGTATGTATGTGTGTATATATATATATATATATATATATATATATATATATATATATATATATATATATATATATATGTATGTATGTATGTATGTATGTATATATATATATATATATATATATATATATATATATATATATATATATATATATATATATATATATATATATATATATTTACTGGTTTAACGGAGCACACCTTTAAAGATTGCAGATATAAACATAAAAACTCCTTTCAATACAAAAGTAAAGCTAATGCCACAGAACTTTCTAAATATATATAGAAAATGAAAAAAAAGGGATTTTCAAATCCTATTTTTATGTGGAAAATTATTGATAGGGCAAAAACTTTTAAACCTGGATGAAAGTCATGTAACCTTTGTTTAACGGAAAAATATCATATCATTAAATCATCTTTGAGACTATTGAATAAACGAAATGAATTAATATCGGTATGTCGCTACGAAAACAAATTTGTCATCTAAGCTAACACTGTATTGCATTTTTGTATACAATTTTTGTTGTTGTTATGGTTGTTTGTACATATGATTATTGCATAAAGTGTGAATCTCCAAGTAATGTTACAAAGTTAATTGTATTTAATTATTATTCTAATAGAAAAAAAATATATATATATATATGTATATATATATATATATATATATATATATATATATATATATATATATATATATATATATATATATATATATATATATACATACATATATATATATATATATATATATATATGTATATATATATATATATATATGTATATATATATATATATATATATATATATACATATATATATATATATATGTATATATATATGTATATATATATATATATATATATATATATATATATATATTATATATATATATATATATATATATATATATATATATATATATATGTATATATATAAATATAAACATATATATATATATACAAATAAGTATATATATATATGTATATATATATATATATACTTAAACATCTTTGCTTCCAACAAGGCCACAAGCAACCACTAATTAGAGTTATAAGTTACTGGAAGTGAAACGATGAAGATTGTAGAGCAAGATAACCATTGACAGACGACTTATGTGAATCAAGATTACAAATTATGTGAATCAAGAAAGCAAGATGAAGGAAGCGAATTCCAAAGAACTGATGTTCAACGAAAAAAACTAGACGAGTAAGAGTTTTTGGAGTACTTAGGAGCGTCACAGAAAAAGAATGAGACTTGATTGAATGGCGAGTAACACAAGAATAAAGAGATGCAACCTTAGCAGATGCTAATTTTGCAACAGATTTGATATATGGTTTCCAAGAAAGATCGGAAATAATAGTTAATCCTAGAAGATGAAGGGTAGATGACTCATCAAGTACATTACCGTTCATAAATATAGCAAGGTCTAAACTATTGCAGTAACGATTAGCTGAAAAAAAATTGAGTTTTATCTGAATTAAAGTTCACTAGCCACTGTGAGCCCCATGCTGTAGCAGAAGTGAGATCCTTTCAAGCTCAAATGCTTCCTCTAAACAATCAGAGAGTGTTGGCTTCTTATGTCAAGAATAAATGGCAGTATCATCAGCGAACAATGCCACCTTAGAAGTGAGAATATCGGGAAGATATATTTAATATAAATTAAAAAGAGTATAGGATTGAATTATGAGGAACCCCTGAGGTTACAGAATAGAGTGCTGCCCATCGAGGACAAATTTTATACTATGATTGGAAAGAACAACCGTAGAACAAAAAGATCGAAATCCATATTGATGATCAGAAAGTAAGTTATTAGATTCAAGATGAGAGATTAAGTGTTTGTTAATTAAAGATTCAAAATGATAGGAAGAAGACTAATGAGACAGCAGTTAGACGAATCATATCGCTCTCCAGAGTTTTTAAAAATAGGGATAACAGATGCTTTCTAGCATCTGTTATCTTCTTCTAGCAGGCTAAAAACAAGACTCTGATAAGTACTTGTAAATACTCTGATAAGACTCTAATAAGCTCTTGTTGAATAGTTTTGAAAGTATAGACAACAGCTCCGGAGAACACTTCTACATGACTATAACAGTTATGTTGTCCGGTCCACAAGCTGTAGAAGAATCTAAGTAGGAAATCACTTTTGATACAGAAGCTGAAGTGATACATATGTCAAGCAATGAATCAACCTGTTTGACAGTTAAATCAGGTAGAAAGCAACTAGTGGAATCAAGAGATGATATTAATGAAAAGTTCTTAGCAAACAATTCAGCTTTGTCTTTAGATGAGGTGACAAAGTCTGAATCATAAAAGAGAGGTGGAATTACAGATTTGCCCTTATTATTGATACTATTAAAGATTCTCCAGAAGTCATGAGAGCCTAATTTTTGTGACGAAATACGAGATTTTATGACCTGAGAATAGCGGGCTTTGGCATTAGATAAAACCTTTTTACAATGGTTTCTAGCAGTAATGGTTTCTAGCAGTAACAGATATCTGTTTTCTGGAGTATTGTTTTGCTAATAGATATGGAAGTAACAATTTCGAATGGCAATTGCAGCAGCACAATGAGAGGAAAACCATGGAGAAGAGTGAGACTTGACCTGGAATCTTTGTACGGGAATAAAAGATTCCATTCCAGCCTGAATTCACGAAGTTATGTAAGAAGCGCATTTGTCAATAGGAAGACAAAAGATTTCTGCCCAAGGCCCATCACATGTTTTTAACTTGTTGAGAGCTGGAGGCTGCATAAGCACAAATTGGCATATGTGCGAACTGGCATAAGTGCGGAGCGTTGCAAAAACTGGCATAAGTGCGAACTGACATATGTGCAAATTGGCATAAGTGCGCCAAAACATTTTGCAAACATTGGTATAAGTGTGAATTGGCATAAGTGCAAAGCAGTTGCAAAAACTAGCACAAATGCGAACTGGCATAAGCGCGAATTGGCATATGTGCAAACTGGCATAAGTGCGAAATGTTGCAAAACTGGCATAAGTGTGAACCGGCATATGTGCGAATTGGCATAAGTGCGCCAAAACATTTTGCAAACATTGGCATAAGTGTGAATTGGCATAAGTGCAAACTGGCATAAGTGCGAATCAGTTACAAAAACTGGCACAAGTGCGAACTGGCATCCTACATCAGACAAAAATCCAATGTAAAGCAGTTCAATAAAAAGTTTAAAATTAACCTAGTATAGCTATCATATGGTTCTTAGTTTTAACATTTCAGTTTGTATTTTTGATCTTTTAAAAAATGTTTTAACTTTTTTATGTTATTAATTTCATGAATAAAAGCAATAAATAAAGAGTTAGTCGACTAGAATTATTTATTCTCCTAACTTTTATTATGCAGTGTGTGTGTGTGTCAAAGTTGTAAAAAATTTGTAGAGAAAAAGATATGAATAAACAGATTTAAACTATTTCAAAATGTTTATATAAATAGAAAATATATACAGATTCATCTAATATACAGTATTTTGCAAATTAGTTCGGACAGTGGTTGAAATAACACAATTATTTGCCTTTTATTACTAGACTACAGTAAAACACTTATTTATCTGAAAAAACAAAAGAATCTTTAGTATTATAGCTAAAAGTTGGGCATATTGTGAAAATTGTTCCAATTTTGCCACTGTCCGAACTAATTTGCACAATACTGCATGTATTATATACCCTAGCTTTTTTTTAGCTAATAATGGCATTCGATTATTGTGAGTATTATTATGTTATTGATTTGCCATTGAAGTGCCACCTACCCTTACTTCAGTAATTATGCATTAAGTGATTTTAGTGTATGTTAAACTAAGTTGTCAAACCTAGTGCATATTTATTTTGATAAAACTAAAATACCTTTGTTTCTTTTGAGCTTTTTTAATTCTTTTTTCAAATGAAGCTTGAGCTTCACTCTCTGAATAAACTTTAAACAACTCTAAAGATGAGTCAATACCCTAAAAAACATGTATAAACAATTACAGACTTTATTTATATAAACTTAATTTATATAAAGAACAAAATAATAAAATATAATTTTTGATAATTATAGTAGCCAGGAAATTATTTGGGTATATCTGATTTTTTTAAACAGCCTCTAACCCCTTCCTTAAGAGTGGATGGGGAGGGATTACAAAAATTAACTAATTAGCCTATATTACAATATATATATATATATATATATATATATATATATATATATATATATATATATATATATATATATTTTAATTCACCTCCTTAAGGCCGAGAAGGCCACTACAGACGAGGAGGCTACTTATTTGTGGCTATAACCCTCTCTCAACTCTATAACTCCCAAACACTAACCTTGATGAACAAGGCCGCTATGCGAAGAAACGAGTTGAGCGCGGTACTACCAGGGACGTGGTGAGGATCGAACTCCGAACCACTCGTTTATGAAGCAAGCGCTCTACCACTACACCACTACCGCATATATATATATATATATATATATATATATTTACACATAACCATTATTGAAATAAATTACACATTGCAAAATTTTATATTTATATTGTAACAAATATGTTCTAAAATAACACAAATTATAATAAAATATTTTTATATCCTAATATGTATATATACATGAAATCTGAAAAAAATCAATTCAAAAAAAAAAAAATGCATTTGCCAATATAATATTTACAACATAGCATTTTAATATAAAGAATGTTAACACTAAATTTGTGTTGTTGGTGTCACAAACAGCAATGAACTCAACTTAAAAATACAATGGATTCTAATAGTTGCTTTATGCTAAATAAGGTTTTATAAGGATGCATGGCTACAAAAATAACGGGGTTTTGTTATTAGTTACAAAAAAAAAACTGACTTTTTTTTTTATCTTTTCTATTTTTTATATATCAAATTTGAAAAAAAAATTTATTTCATATTTTATATTTATTTTAACTTTGTTTAAATGCTGAAACAATTTATTTATGATAACAAGTAGCAAACTTATTAATGATTATTTATCTATTACCAACTCTGTACAAGCATTCATCAAAACCAAACCATTTCAGTGTTAGTCCTGTACCATGGTGCTTCACATATAATTTTTCAGGCACCAAAGTGAATAAAATGTGCCCTCACATTCATATGAAGTTAATGGAAAGGTAGCAAGTAAGTTTTAAACGTTTTCACAAGCAGGAGAATTCAACACTTTTAACAACTCAGTAATATTAAAATGGACATCACTTTTTTTTAAATTTAACCAAAAGGTTTGCATAAATGAAGCTCACAAGGTAAAGCATGGGAATTCAGTAAATCTGTTCCATAAACGTCATGAGAAAATAAGTCCCTCTAGTGTCTTGAAATTTGAACTTCTGAAATCATTTTTGTAGGAACTAGCACAAAGTTCTTGAAAAGTATCCAAAATAAAAGTAAACTTTTTCCACCATGTAATCAATGTGATCTGCAAAAACGTTTTAATTTTTTTTTGTTAACAGCCAACGGAACAGTACCTTCAATATACTCCTCTAACATTCGTTACCTGGTAAGTAAAAGTTTGATACCTTATCATTTGTGCCAAAAAATAGTTGACATAATGCACTTTGTATGTAGCACAAATAGCTAAACTAGCATCATGAGCATATGTAGCTTTTTTATTCAGATTTAAAATATAAGAGGACAAACCTTTAGTGTGACCATTGATTGCTCCATCATATCAATGCCCTCTGTAAATATAAAATAATCCTTAACTAATAACACTATTTGTGCAAAAAAATTGATAAATTCTCTTATTGAACTTTGAATCAACAAACCATTTAATCAATAATAGATGTTCTTTACTTTAACTGTTAGAGGCTTCATAAGCAATAATAGAAAAATGTTTGATATGAAATTTTTTTTTTTAATGGTGTCACTAATAATTTCTCCAAAAAACTTTATTACCTGATGATGTGGTGTCTTAGATATGTAAGAAGCGTTCTTTGTTGTTGTTGATAATATCTAAGTTGATCTTGAAGAATTTTATCACCAGCTTTAACATGGAAATAATGCAAACACTTCATTTTTTTAAGAAAACTTTAAAGAGTCGACAAGACATCTTTACAAGAAACTATATTTTTCTGTTATAAGCCTTTCAAAGAGATTAATTTTGTTTTGTCATTTTGTAGCATTATGTTTTCAACTTTATGATTAAGTGACATTTTAGACTAACACTTTTAACATCTAACATCAAGTAACATTAATTTAACATCTAACATTAAGTAACATTAAGTAACATTAAGTAACAAAATATCATAAGAAAACTTATATATTTCAGGAGCGTAAGCATTAAGGGATGCCTGACAGTGTTCTTTTATAAATAAAGTCAAATACTTGCAAATTAAATGTTAAAAATGAAACTAGATAAAAAGATAAATCATGAAAAAATATAATGTTGAATATGCCCTTTGGTGTATTTTGTATTTTGTGTATCATTAAAATTATTACTTTAATTTTATCAACCTCGGAAACAAAATTGTTATTCGTAAAGAAATTAATATCTCGATTTTTTAAAAAAAAATTTTAAAAATAAAAATTTTAAAATGCTTTTTATTGTTCAATAAAATAATAATGGGGACATTCATTGATACTTCTAATTAAATATTATTTACTTATTATTACTTTAACCTCCAGTTAAGAAATATATTTTTAATTAAGATTAAAAAACGCACAAAACAAGATTTTTTTAATTAGCGTTTTTAATTATTACTTATGATAATGAATCTTAAATCTAATTTTATTTGACAGTTAAATAAAAAATTATTTTTATATAAAATTTTAAAATATTATTAACTATTTTTTTTTTTGATTCAGTTTTATTTTTGGGTACATTTGCAGTTGTACTAGATGAACTCTAGATCCACCACTGGTAGCTACTATAATTATTGATTATTGCTACTATGAATTATTTTTTATACTCTGCACCATGGAAACCATGCAGCAACCGTATTCACATCTCTCTGTTAAATTAACAAAGAACAAAAAAAACTCTAAACGGCAGGTTTTAAAATAGAGGAAAGTAAATAGTATTCTAATCATTCCGCTACCTTTCTCTGTATATTAATTGCTCAAATAATTTTTTCTGTTAAAATTTCTTTGTTAGCCAGCTCCATCAACCAATTTTCGTGGAGCTTTTCTCATCACATCTAAACGCTGCAATGCCAACAGATGATGATTCTATTGGTAAATCCCAGCCAGTGATTTTCAAAATAATGGCTACTGAGTAATTCTTTAAATTTAATTAAAACACGCTACATTACAAAAAAATCGAAGAGTTTGTATTTACTTAACACTTTTATTTTATTAAATTTTATGTTTATGCTTGTTTCACTCTTATGGATTACACATTTTCTCTCAAACTCTCCTTGTGTTTAAACTATATATTAACTCCAAAATGAGTTATTTCACCGTGTATCTTGCACTGTGTTCTTTCTGTTTAAGAAGTTGACAATTATTTATTCAAAAATTATTTTACATTTAAAATGAACTTTTCTTAGACTAAAATAAATCCTTGAACATACAAAATGTTAATCAACTTTTTAATTATAATATTCTCTAAAACCAAAAAAATGTAATCATATATATTTTATTATATTTAACAGCAAAATATCATTGTATATAACAGTAAATAACTTATTTGTTAATTTTTGAATACATTAATGTTGGTTCTAAAAATATTTTCTAAAAAGATAAACTTTTAAATAAAAACTTACATGACACACTAAAAACCTTTGAGAAGCATCTGTTTTTAAAGTGGTTATTCTTCCTTTTCCTTGGTGTATAATCGAACCAATCAGTTCACAACTCAGAGGAACCTACAAATGAATATTTAAGAAAATTAAAAATTAATAATAGTTATTGTGACAAATAACATAAATGATTGAAGTAAACTGGAAAAATAAAAATAAAAAAAATTATAAATTTTTACAGTTTATTATCTGCTATAGCAACAAATTAAAACCTCTTTATTTTCTTCAGATATAAGTTTGTAAACTCTTAATTCTGAATCGCCACAACCTGTTATAAGCCGAGTTTCATCATTTAATAGACAAGTTTGCCAAACCTATATTCAAAAATAATACATTATAAAACAAGACAAAGTCAGAAAAATTACACAAATAGAAATGAAAAATTTTTATTGTTAGCATTTTTTATTGCATCTAGTTACTTAGATGCTCCAAGATGTCCTTATGGTCTAAAGTCTAAAACTTATGGTCTAAAGTCTAAAACTTATGGTCTAAAGTCTAAAACTTATGGTCTAAAGTCTAAAGCTTATGGTCTAAAGTCTAAAACTTATGGTCTAAAGTCTAAAACTTATGGTCTAAAGTCTTAAGTAAAAAAACACAGAAGTTCATGCCACCTTCTTTGTGTCATGGCTGCTATTAGTTAACTTTGCATTTATTAGACTGTTAATTTCATAGAAATATACTAAACCCTGATTAAAAATTAAGCACACTGTTGATATCTTATTCCAAAACGGCAAATAGATAATCCAGATTCTAATAAATACTCTTCATTTAACATAAAATCAAATAATTATTTTTTCTTAGTCATTTCCAATTCTCTCAGTAAATTGTTTAACTCAGGTTTTAAAAAGACATGTTAATTTTTCTGGAGAACATTTGAACTAAATTCTCCAGAAAACCAGAACTCTGTGACTTAGAACTTCAGAACTGAACTGTAAAACATCATTAATAGACTGAGGTGAGTGCTGAGTGGGGACAAGGTTTAGTGAGTGCTGAGTAAGGAAAAAAATTGTTGAGTGGGAACTGTAAAATGCAGTCAGCATTGCTGAATGGTAACTTTGACTTCGAAGGCTGTATATATGTAGGCCTTGGCAGAAATGGTGGGCGATCACCCAAGTCTCCACACCCGTGTAGTTAGTTTTCATGAGCGAATTAAAGCCCATATAAAATACCTTTTTTTAAAACAAAAATTAAAAACTTTGTCATTAAGTCTAACGTTTTTTAGGTTGCATCCTAATTTATTTTACATACTCTAAGTTTTATTTTTATAAAAACTTGATAAGTTCAAATGATCACTATAAGAATTTCAGTAAAAACAATATTAAGAATACTGTTAAGTAAAAAAAAAAAAAAAGAACTATGAAGCTTTATTAGTTTTGAAAAAACCATTTAAATTTTTAAATTTAAATGGTTTTTTCAAAACTAATAAAAATTTTAAATAAAAATTTTAAATAAAAATTTTTTCAATTTTTATTTAAAAATTTGCTGTCAAGCTTGGAGTTATTTCAGTGCAACTTTTTAAACATTTAAAATTAGAAAAAAAAAATTACAAAAAGAAGAAAAATAACGAATGAACTTATATATATATAAATAGAAAAAACGCAACGCATGATGTATTATATGATACAAAACATTACAGAGTAACTAAGAAACTATTATTAAAAATAATTAATAATAACAATTAACAAAAAATGTGTAAACTAAATTTTTTTGATTAAAAAAATAAACGTATACCAACAAAAACTAACTTTGCAGTATTAGCGCTAAACATTTTGCTTAGTTGTTTTATTTTCTAATTTTTGCAAAATACACATTAAAAAATGAATAAAATTTTTTTGATATTTTAAGCTTGTCTATTATATAAATTAGTTTTTTGTTATATTTAATGTTATTAAGTGGTTATTATCTTTATTTGATTGATAAAATATTATCTTTTAAAATTCTGTTAAAAAAATTATTTTGTATTGTTTAACCATTTTTTCTTATTTGTATGTGCGTATTTAAATATAATTAATTTCACCTAAATATCTAGCGTAATTTAATTTAATGATTTTTTAAATATAAATTAATTTATGAAATCTATTTAAACAAATATTTAAAAACTTATCTTTTACTTAAAAGAATGCCTACCAAAACCCTTAGTTGATCTATGCACTCCAATGCGCCTATCCCTATTTAAATTAGTTGATGTATGTACATTCATGCACTTATTCTATAAAAAACTTTTAAAAAGATATATACATTAAACACAACTTTAAATAAACAAAAAAAATAGATAAAAAACTTAACACTACTTTCAAATAAAACATCAAAAAAGTACACAAGAAAACCTTGTTTGCTGTGCCGTATGTATATAAAATTATAATTAGTACGTATGTATATAAACTTATAATTATATCAAATATAAATACAATTATGACAATCTTTATAAATAAGTTTCTTAAAAGTATATAAAATACATAAAAGTAGTTTACTTTCCAACTGTATGGTAAAACCAATAATTACCAATAATAATGTAAAACAAATTGTTATACCCTAATATACAAATATTGCATGTTAGGGCATAACAATTTATAATATTGCAAACAAGAAATTGTTACAGGGAGAATAAATTAATAAATTGTATAAAATTAAAAAACTAATAATTTAAAAACTAAAAAAAAAAGAACCTTTTTAAAATTCCTTTAAAGAAAAAAGTTTTTATTACTTATTCATATAAATTAAAAGTTCATTAAAATATTACTCAAAAGTTGATTATTTATTTTTATTTGTAAATAATTTTGGCAACTTGTCACTAATTTCCAAATTTGCAAAGTTTTACTGCTTTCACTTTTACATTTATTTACCTATAATTTAGAAAAAGAATAACCCATGATTCGTATAATGTAAATTACATGAGTTATGGGTACATGAATGTGAATATATATATAAGTTTCAAACAAATTTTTATAAATTAAATTAAAATTGCATGCATTACTTTTTATTTTGCACACATAATGTTGATAAGTAAATATAGAGCAAAAAATTAATGTATTTTTACTTGGTGATATTGATTCAAGTTAAATATTAAAAACAAATTATTTATAAGTGATTTACTAGTTTGGTTATGAAAAGACTATTATTAATTAATTCTACTTTTTATTATTATTATATTTATATCAAATTATATATCTCAGTGGTGTAACATTATGGTTGTCCAGGGAGAAGAGACGATTTATCCTTATCTCTGAAACGATAACTGAAATTTGTAATAAAATACCAACCCTAGCCAGTCACTATTCGATTATTAGTTGCCATCTAGAATTTACAAATAAAGCCATGTTTTTAAATAATCTATAAAAACCTTTTTTAACTGGACAAAACTTAAGGTTACACTACTATAATTTAAAATTTATACTGTTTGTTTAATTAAACCTTCAAATCATTAAATTACATTAAACATATTAAATAAATAATATAAAATTATAAATAATAACATTATGAATGACTATTTTCGTTTACTTTATTACTGTTTGTTATTATTATTGTTGTTTATTTCTTTTAACTACTGTTACTATAACTACAGTAAAAAAAAGTTCATACTTCACTTTTGTGTCCGACAAGGGTAAGAAAGCAATGTTGAGTATCTAAATCCCAAAACTTGACAAGCATATCTTTGGAACTAAAAATCAATTGTTTAAAACAATCTTTGATGTAATTGACAAATTTTATTAAAAACATAATTTTTAAGTCAATCATTTATATAACATATACAGGTTTTGGGTCGATTGGATACAACACACATTAGTTAAGAATATAATTTTAAAAAATAGATTAAACCCTAATTGCAAATCAAGGTTTTTTAAGCAAACTTATCACATTTACTGTGTCTAGAAGTTTTATCTGCTTTCATCTGCTTCTTCTCCTTTAAAAATGTAATAGAAGTTTGTTGATGGTCAGATCTAAATTTTCTCTTTAACCATACAGAAATTACTAGTAAACTAGTGAACTGTCATAACTAAATAGTAATTTAATTATGACAGTTCACTAGTAATTCCTGAATTACTAGTAATTTAGAAATTTTAAACTTTAGAAATAATTTTTAATTTAAATTTAGAAATTACTAGTAAACTGTTCTGCAACAAGCTCTTGAGCTACTTTTTGAACTACTTTTTGAATTTTTTATTGAACAGAAATGAAATATTTTTTAAGAATTGTTTTGGTCATTTTGTGACTTGAAAGCAAAAACAATACTGATTTCAAACTTTTAAAACTATGAGAATATTTTGCACTTCCTCTAAGTGTCAATTTTCTGTTGACAGTTTTTGTTGTTAAAAAAAAAAGTTAAGTAACATTGCTAACAGTGTTAAAATAAATAAAGTAAATAAAAACAATGTTAAAATAAATAAATTTATTAATGTTTAAGTAGGCTTTTACTAATCTAACTACAGTAAACAATAGTTGAAAACCTTGCTTTACTGTTAGCACAGTTGAAGTGCTAACAGTACTTAAGCCACATTTTAGCGAAATCAACCAAACTGGTAAATTTTTTTTAAATATGGTTAAACTCGGTGTACTGGATTAATTGCAACATTTAAAAATTACCTATGCTCCTCTATTAAACAAGACAAAAATAACAAAGATACAAGTTTATATATAAATATACAATGCATATTTATATATAAACTTGTTTAGTGTATTCTACAAAAAGTGTTCTCAATGTTCTTAATGAACTGAGCAGTAATAAATTAGTAAAAAATACCCAACTTGTATCTTTTGTAATTGCTTGTAAAGATTTATGTATTATAAAAAGATAACAATAAAAACATGGGGCTACAGATAAGCAACCTTAAATAATTTAATTTTTTTTGCTTATTGCACTCTCGTCAGTGGAGACAATTTAAGATTGCTGCTAGCGGATTGCATAATATTTATTGGCTTTAGTAAATATATCGACTATATTATAGCCTGCTGCTGCAAGGAAGTTCCGCTACATCAACTGAGGGTTTGGCATGGGGCAGCAATCCTAAAATGTTTCTACTGACAATAATGCAATAAGCAATAAATAAAATTACCGAACATGAATAACTTATTCAGGTTTTTTCTATTTTAATAGAAGCTCACACATCTTATGGTAAAAAGCTGAAACCATCAATGAAGCCTGCCATAATTAAATGTCATTGTAGATGCTTTACTTAATTTACAGATATTGAGAAAGTTTTTTCTGTATTTTCTGCTCTTATCAACGCTGTAGATATATAAAATGTATATAAAATGAACCCCTGTCAATAGTATTTGTCGAAGGTCTAGAAAAGAAAATGGCAAAGAACTAACAGATTCTTCTATTCAGTCACTTCAATAGACCAAACTGTTTACAAGACAGCATTTTTTGCTATGCATGGGGTAAAAAATCTAGGCTTAAGAGAAAAATTCTTAACTTTACCATTCCCATTGAAGATGGCCAGGATAAACATGAAAACCACAAAAAAATGGAATAAAAAAATTAGAAATTGTGTTTGTGATTGCATTAGACTGTTTCCTGCACGTGAAAGCTACTACAGCTGATCAAAAAACAAACACAAAAAATATTGTGATTCATCACTGACTGTGGCAGAAATGCATCTCTAATTTAAAAGGCAGATCCAGATCTTATACGTAATGATTACTTACACATATCTCACTCCTTGGAAATCCAAATTTAATTTAATATTAAATTTGGATTTCCAAGGAGTGATACATGTGATAAATGTGAAAAATTTTAGGCACAAATTAAAGCAGCCAAATCTATTAATGATGTCATTCTTGTAAATAAAAAAAGACGGTAGTAAATGGTACATAAGACAAATAAATAAAGATGGTAGTAGATGGTACATAAGGCGCTAGCTCTTTAGAGAAGCGCCCATTATAGTATTTATAGAAAAGAGAAAGAGAAGCAACATTACGACAATGTGACAATGGTTAAAGGTTTGCTGCAAGAGCAGCCAACCTTGTCATGTTACATAAACATAAATTATGTTTATGCACCTTGTCTAAAAGAGAATAGGTATCATTCTAAGATTCAAAGAAGGGCATCATTCAAAAATCCAGATATGTCAACAGTATTCCATACAAGAACGGATTAGAGATTTATAGAGATAAAGAAAAAGAATCCAAAGTAAGAAAGTGGTAATAAATAAAAGTGAAAGTTCATAAATATAAGAAGATCTAGATTATTGTGATAACGATTAGCTAAAAAAATTGAGTTTCATCTGAGTTAAAATTCACCAGCCACTGAAAGCTATTAATTACCATTAACAAATCAGCAGTAGAACAAGAAGTTAGAAATCTATATTGATGATCAAAAAGTAAGTTATTAGATTCAAGTTGAGAGATTTTATTCAAGATAAGAAGATTTATAAATATAATTTATACATTAACTCCCAACTTGAAATAAAGAATAAATTGTTCCATAAAAATTGTTACCTTGTTATAAGAACATTTTGTGTTGTCATAAATTGACAACTTGTCACCATTCCTTTATGACCTTTTAACCTAAATTTTATAAAGAATTTTAATTATTAATGTGGCAGAGTATTATTACAACAACAAACAAGCACACTATTAAATTTCAAATTTTTAAAAACTATTTGGCTTTTGATTTATACCATTGTTGTTTTAATTGAAATATATTTCAAACTATGCACCCTTTAATTATATATTTCATATATTTTATATTTGAGATTAAAGATTTATATCAAGCTATAGTTAAAGTATAATAAAATAAAATTATATTTTTCATTATAATTATCAAAAAAGATAATTCCTTTTTTTACTTTAGAAATGAGACTCAACTTATCTATGGTACAGTATTGGCTACTTGATGATGCAGTGACAACATAATGATGCAACAGCAACTACTTTGTTAATACTTACTTAACTTTCCTCCTACAAATGCTTTACGTAATTAAATACAACTTTAATGGGTCTCTGATTTTTGATTTAAAAGCTTTCAAAAAAAATTTACCTATAAAGACCTGTCTCACCAACAATATCCCAAACAATTACATCAGTATCCTTAAAAAAAAAACATTTTTCTTTAGAAAATAATTTCATTAAATATTTTTTTTTATTATTTTATTTTTTACCAAATCAATTTAACTAATAGAAAATTTATTTGATATATAATAATTATCGATATTTAATAATTGGTATATATTAATAATAACTAATGAATATATAATAATTATTATTTAATGTACAGCAAATATATAACTATCTAATATATATAATATATATTAAATATATATTATAAATATTATTACTCACTTATTATGATAGTATTCTTACAAACTATTTATAATATCATTATTATAATCATTAATGACACAACATTTTTTTTTTCTCTGTCTATTAAAGAAAAAATAAAATGAACAAAAAATATATCTGCATGTAAAAGTAAAAACTAAAGCTTTATAAAAAGCATTTGATATATACTTACATTTGACCCTGAAACAAGTTTTGTGCCAGTTATATCAAAAGATAAACATGTAACAGCCGACTTATGCCCACTAAAAACATATATATGTAACATAATATTATACATACATACATACATACATACATACATACATACATACATACATACATACATACATACATACATACATACATACATACATACATACATAAATACATACATACATACATACATACATACATACATACATACATACATACATACATACATACATACATACATACAGATAAGTACTTTTATGGCGGATAGTTCTTGCTTAAACATTTTCTGTTAGGTGGGTATAAAAAAATTTGTTTGATAAGATATTTTTATATAAGAGACAACTCTAATTAACTTTGTAATATTTATGTTGTTATGTTTTTAACAATTAATATATGGGCAATTCTGCAACAAGTAACATAAGGGCATTTTTATGCAAGAAAGAGAAAGAAAGGGGAAGTTATGGAGACATACTAACTCAATAAGTTCTTTTTTTTTAACTATTTAAGAATACTTTTAATCAAAAAGTTATTAAAATAAATCATTAGAAAGCAGCCAGAAACCTTTTTTTTTTTTTCTAATTTATTGACAAATGTAACTGGCTTTCTGAATAAATAATTTTTATAGACTTTCTTCAAAAAATTATATTTTTGTCTATTTATGCCTTTAGACACACTCTGCAACACCAGCTTTACTCTTCAGTTTTCATTTGTAGAGTATGCACATATGTTAAAAAATGAAAAAAGTGAAAAATATTTTTTAGATTATAAATTGTTCTTTCTGAATAAGTGTATGGACTAAAGTGAGCCTTTTAAAAATTAATGTCAGCAGAATGTAAATCTGGTCAGCAGATTATATTAGTATTTATAATACTAGAATTTAACATAAATCTGTAGTAACAGATGCATGTTAAATTATATATATATATATATATATATATATATATATATATATATATATATATATATATATATATATATATATATATATATATATATATATATATATATATTCAAATTATATATATTATTCAATTATAAAAAAACACCTGAATGATATATCTGATATATTGGTTTTTAAATTCCACATTTTAATAGCGCCATCACTGTAACTAAAAAATAATTATATTTTTATTATAAATAATTTATAATACAAGTTACATTTTAATTTTGTCTAAATTCTATAACTTATAATTTAAATATTTTGATTAACTATTTACCCTACTGCAATCATAGAAGAATTTCCTGGAGCTTTTGCTAGTGCTGTTACTTCTGCATTTACTCCTTTTAGCATCATTACCTAGTTAATTAAATTTAAAAAAAATATAAACTACTATTTTTTATTAACTTTTGTTATTAAGTTATAAAAAAGATTTATAACTTAATAACAAATTATATAAAACTATTAAGATTAAGTAAAATATTTAATATTAAAAAAATTTACTTTACAAAAAAAATATTAGAACAATTAAATTTTAAAATTACAAATATATAAAAAATAAAAATTTGGTTCATCATCAAAATTAACAAAATTAATTTTAAAATTAAAAATAGTACCATTTCAGCTTTTCGCATATCCCATATACAAACATTTTCCAATACAGCAGAAGCGCCATAAATATTTGAGTTTGCTGTTTGTGATGGATTGACAATAATAACATTGCTCCTCCCACTCCCTATGACTCCAAAAGAACATAATGGTGCATAACGTTTGTAAGTTTTAGATATTGGCATTTCAAAAAAACAACAAGTTATATGCTTTTTTTATTTTTATTTTTTTTAGCTAAAAAATTCATATTATTAAAAAATAAAATAAAAATTAAAAAAAAACTAAAAAGAGCAAAAAAAAGAACTAAAAAATCATCTAAAATCTAATTAAGTATATATATATATATATATATATATATATATATATATATATATATATATATATATATATATATATATATATATATACACATGTATATATATATATATATATATATATATATATATATATATATATACATATATATATATATATATATATATATATATATATATATATATATATATATATATATATATATATGTATATATATATATATATATATATATATATGTATATATATATATATATATATATACATGTATATATTTTTATGTATATATATTTTTAAAGAGGGAGAGTATATTTGTATTATTGTATAAAAAAAATTACAAACTTTGTAAAAAAATACTTTTTTATGAAAAAAATATATATAATAATATTTTTACAGTTAAGGAAGTAGTTATGCACCCTATCTATCCTCCAAGATACACCCAATAAGTAACTGACATAAAATTTTAGCCCAATGTTACACCTGTCTTTTGATATCAAGTTTTATGTATTGAGATAAGAATTGAAGAAGTTATAACAACTTAGATATATAAAAACTAAATTTTGACCACAGTTTCTTCAACAATTATTTAAAAAAATATTAAAATTTGTTTCTTGAAACTTTAATAAGTTATTGTAGAATTGTTTATTTTTTCACCATTAAAATACTCTATTAAAGCTCTTTCTAACAATACATAATTTCTAGTACTTGATTAATTAAAAAATTTTATTCTGCAAATATATATATATATATATATATATATATATATATATATATATATATATATATATATATATATATATATATATATATATATATATATATATATATATATATATATATATATATATATATATATATATATATATATATATAACCCTCGGAATTAGGAAAAATGAGAATTGGCAAATAAAAAATGAGAAATGGCAATAATTTGTCAACCTCAATCTTTTTGAGGTCAGCATCAGCATTGTCGAATTTATCAGCATTGCCGACCTTAATTCCGAGGGTTGTATATACATATATGTATATATATATATATATATATATATATATATATATATATATATATATATATATATATATATATATAGAGAGAGAGAGAGAGAGAGAGAGAGAGAGAGACAGCATCATTATTTTATTACAAACATTTAACAAAAATTTTCAGATTGTTTTTTTGCATTGATATAAAGTATTTTAAAAAATTTATGTTTCTTTGAAGATACTTTGGCATACTAATGAGTAAAACTCTTTTGAAATAGCTTGAAGGTTGTTTATTTGTTCTATTAATTGATCACGCGTTGCAGTTTCTAATGAAAACTCTTCAGGCGAATGAATTGCTGAGCACTGTACAAAATATAAAGTTTGTAAATGTTAAAATTTTGATTATTATAGTTTATGAGTGTACTCAGATTTTATTATTAAAAATGATCATAAATGGATTTACTATACATAAAATAAATGGATTTACTATACATCAAAAATTTCAAGACAAGAAGGTCTAGCAAAGTAAAAAACACAAGTGAACTTATTGCACTTTATAAAAATATTGGTATAGTATGTAAATATTAAAAAATGCTGAAAATTAAAAAAGTTTAAAAATTAAAAAAAATTTTAAAAACCTGATGCATAATATCATCAAATTGTTTATCACAATTTATTTCGTCAACTGGAAGAACAAACTGTTTATGGAAGCTCTAATAAAAAGTAGAAATAAAACCCATTAAATTAATCAACCAACTACAATCCCTGCTATGTTTTACTAAATTAACTATACATATTTTATCATTATATACATTGTATTATTTAATATTGTACAATATTGTATAATGTTATTCTATATAATATTGTAACAATATTCTATATTTTATATTAATTATGCATATCTATGCATATATTAACATACTAGTTATACATAATTAACATGATAATATCTAATAACTTAGATTGTTCAAAAGTTTCATAATGGTTTAAAAACTTTTAAAGACTTAATTGCACAATAGTGTCATAACAATATAAAAATATTTACTTACCATATCCAATGGTTTTATAATTACAGGAATTTTATCTTCCCATTCTGATGAGTCAAAGTCTGGTTTTTTCATAAAAGGTGTGTAGACAGTTCTATTGAAATTCGGAATAGGAATTTTCAAGTTTAATGATTTATGATTTTCTTGTAAAAAGCTTGGAATTGAAACAATAACAGCATTTGTTATTGCACCTACCAATACAAACAAATACTTTAATATTCCTGTTTGATGAAATTTTTATAAAGCTATTTTTGCAAAAAATGTTTTAAGTATCATTTTAAGTAAAAACAACTATCAAAAAGTATTACCATAATAAAGTAACAAATTACCATAATAGAAATAAATATGTTTTTTGCACATTACATTTTTACAGCAATTTTAGCTGTAAATTATAACTTAAGCTGTAAAATATAACTTAAGCTGTAAATTATAACAAATTATAACATATTTAACTATATTAAACCCCTGCTAAACCAGAATGTTATGAGATATTATATAAATATGATAGACATTATGTTAAAAAATAGCAATTACATAACAATGTACAATAGATACAATTTTGTATTAACACAAACCTCCTTACTGCAATGTGAATAGGGTAGAGAGGGAGTTAGATAAGGGAAGGAGAGGATGGAATTTAAAATTTTTATGATTAGATTTTTTTGCATTAATTTGAGCTCTCATATATACATATATAAACTTATATTACATGTTTAGATTAACTGTCTGAAATCATATTAAAACAGCGTATTGCTGCCAGGGGGCTTCAGTACATATATCGACTGATAAACTATATTGCTGCCAGGGGCTTCAGTACATATATGAACTGACTAAATAGGTGGAACATGCAAAAACATGGTGAAATTGATTAAAAGATTACATTGATTAAAGGATTGGGATATTCAGCAGAAATCTTGATTTTCATTATTCTTTGTTTTTTCTTTATTTTTGAAAAAGTATTGAATAAAGTCACTAAAAAAGATTGATAAAGTTATATCTATATACGCTACAGAAGATAGCATATATAGTTATATAGGCCTCTTCTAAGATTGTATAATCTGTATCTGATATTTTCAAAAATAATTTAATAATAACTCAAAAAATAAAAAGCTTGAATTTCAAATTTTAAAAATCACATGACTGATTAAAATAGACAATTTCATTGTAACATACAGATGTCTAAAAAACTTAATTTTTGGCAAAAGTTAAAAAAAAATTTGTAATTTTTTTATTATTATTTTTTTACACACAACATTATACAGATTATTCAAAAAAATATAGGTTTGATTTTTTTTTGAAAGAAAAGTCAATAACAGTATCCAAGAGCAATTAAAAACTGATGAATAATTTCTTGCAAAAATACAACACTTTTTCATTTGTGTATAAATTTATAATTAATGACATGTACAGATTTTTTTTTAAAAACAAATGTTTTTAAAAAAATGTAGATTTTTTTTTAAAAACAAATGTTATAGTATAGAGTTTAATTTGAAATAATACTACTTTTTTATTATTGCATACTTGCATAAGTTATTTATGTTTAAAATTAGTATTAAATAAAAGTTTTTTCTTCAATTTCAACTTCTTCCTAAAGTCAGCATGCATGGACTTGATCGATATGATTTTATTGAAGCATAATATACATATTATTTAAAAAAAAATTTGTGGTTTATATATATAATTATTCAAACCAACTTTAAAGCTCCTAAAATATACCTATTTTATGTTATCAAAAATACTAGTGTCTCTATTTTTGTTTTATTTTTATAAATACATGTTCAAAAACATTTTTTTTCTTTATACAATCGTACTTGCTAAATTGTTAAAAATAGTTCAAATTTTTATTTTATTTTTATCAATTATTTCATATATTTAACTAGATGAAAATACTTAAAAAAATGCATATTTTGGTAAATTTAAAATCCATGTAAAATGCAAAGTACGCTATTAAAACATTTTGTTTATAGCTACATATTTATAGTATTACTATTTACAGTATATTAATGTATATTTTAAACATTTATTATTGCTTAATAATTCCTAAAAAAATCAGCTGCATATAATAAAAATAAAGGAACTTATATTCATTACAAACTATACCGTATTGACACAGTATTGGTTTTGGTTTTAAAATATATTTGCCTTTGAAACTTTTTATATTATGGTTTTAAATTTAATGTATTGACTTATATATCTTTAGA